CTTCCGTGAGTCTTTTAGTTCCAAGCCAAAGTCCATGGTCACAGAGGAACCTTCAGCATTGACTGTGAAATAGAAAAAATATAAAAGATGATTAGACATAATTAAGCATATATTGTTATCATTAAGGAAGGAATGTACTGCTCTGTAATGTGTTTACTGCTGTGTTATAGGTCACTATACACATTATTGTGTGTGCCTATACCTTGATTGTATTTAGAACATTCTGTTCTGCCTATGTTTTGTTTATCTTTACATGGTCATGTCTGTCATACCTGTCACTTGTCATGTATAGGCTGGGCCTAATCTTGCCATCAGTCCAGCTAAAAAACTGCGTCAGTTTGTTGTTTTACGGGCTAGCTAGATGTCTGGTACCAGCGCGCAAGAAATAAACTTCTCCAGACATATGGCTAGCTCCCTGGTTTGGATTCTTCATTAAAGACCATCTGATTTGCTACAGATCTAAAGAATGGGGTTTGAGATATGTTATCCCCACTAAATGAAAAAGAACCACATGAAGAAAGTATACCCTGCAATCTAAAGAAATGCCTTTATTTACGTTGTTCGGAATCACTGAGATCGTAATCTAAGTTCTTAAAAAGTGGATGGAAAATCTTGAATCAGTATTTGAAATTTACTTCAGGAATAAATAACATGAAACTGGTGGATGCATTAATGGCTTTAACTACACACTTAGAAAAGAGGTGGTACTTCAAGGGTTCTTTAGTAAAGGCAATGGGTCTGTTTAGAACTATAAGTTCTACATAGAAACATTTCATGCTCTTTGCATGGTGAAATCGTTCGTCAGATTGAGGGAGAATGTGCTGTATATGGGTCTATACAGAACCTTTTTTGAAAATGGTTCTATATAGCACCAAAAAGGGTTCATCTAATGTTAGAAGCTTGACATTGTTACATCAGCAGAACAGGTTTTTGGTCATATATATAGAACCATTTTCAAAAAGGTTCTATACAACACATTCTCCATCAATCTGAAGAACCATTTAAGCACGAAATAGTCCATTATAGAACTCATGGTTCTAAACAAAACTATTCTCTTTAGTAAAGAACCCTTAAAGAACCATCTTTTTAAAAGTTTTTTTTAGTTATTGCTAACACTAGGTCTAATTTTTTACAAATGAAGTGTGAGATGGTTACTTTTAACCGTGAATAAGTCATGCTTGTTCATTTTCAATAAAAAAAATCTACTCGTAACAATTTACAACCGTAACAACACTAAAACAGCGCATGTGTGAATGCAGCTTCAGGCTTTAGTCGAGTATGAAGGTTAGTAGCATCAGGTTTTCAGTCAATCGATAATCTAACTTGTAGATCAACCGGCACTACAACATACTACAGAACTGTTTCTGTGCCATCTGGGATCCTTTTAACTACTAACGAGTTCATGTCTGTTCACCAGTAACACCTGGCTGTCGCTAGAAACAAAGGAAATCAGATAAATGCAGCTGTTAAGTAGATTCACTTACACGAGAAGCGTCCAAATCGGTCTGTATACTTTTCATACGCGTCCATTTCCTTCTCTCCCTAACTGCTCCGAGTAAAACAGGTCTGCTGGTTCGGGTAAGCTGAGACTCGGAAGTGGTACTGAAGTCCAACAATTCTTAATTAATCTCTTCACAGGCGACTTTTTCATTCACATTTTCTCACACGTCGCCCTCCGTCAGCCTTCGCTCAAGAATGCCAAAGTGTAGTTTACTTCCGGATGACGTTTCATTTAGGAAGTCCCGCCTCTTTCAACGGAAAGTAGAAGTAGAAGCTCCGCTATGAAATCCAGTCCGACAGCTTTATAACCCACTAACGCTTAATACGATAACGCACAGTCTGATTAAACAGTCTCATTAAACACCACGACAGCTTTATAACCCACTAACGCTTAATACAATAACGCACAGTCTGATTAAACAGTCTCATTCAACACCACGACAGCTTTATAACCCACTAACGCTTAATACAATAACGCACAATCTGATTAAACAGTCTCATTCAACACCACGACAGCTTTATAACCCACTAACGCTTAATACAATAACGCACAGTCTGATTAAACAGTCTCATTCAACACCACGACAGCTTTATAACCCACTAACGCTTAATACAATAACGCACAGTCTGATTAAACAGTCTCATTCAACACCACGACAGCTTTATAACCCAATAACGCTTAATACAATAACGCGCAGTCTGATTAAACAGTCTCATTAAACACCACAACAGCTTAATAACCCACTAACGCTTAATACAATAACGCGCAGTCTGATTTAACAGTCTCATTAAACACCACAACAGCTTAATAACCCTCTAACGCTTAATACAATCACACATAGTCTGATTGAACAGTCTCATTAAACACTACAACAGCTTTATAACCCACTAACACTTCATGCAACAGCACACATTCTGGCTAACATTCTGGCTATACAGTCTTATTAACACTACACCATCTTTTATAACCCACTAACACTTAATAACACAGTCTAAAACAGTCTCATTAAACACTGCAACAGCCTTATAACCCATCAAAACTTAATAACATAGTCAGATTAAACATTCTGATTAAACACAACAGTTTTTTATCCATCTACAACTTTACACAGTAAGACAAAGTCTGATCTAGAGCAAGTGCAAAGGTTTGGGCACACTTTCAGTTGATCCACTAATGATCTCAGAGCTTTTTTCACTCAGTGGGCCTTAATCCAAGTCTTGTGTAGACAATTCCAGGGCATTATAAATAGGGCTGGGATATAATGGAATACAAATATTCAGAATTCATATTCAGAATACAAAAATTAAGTATCTGTATCTTTCTCAGTACTGCAGTAACACTGACGTGGTGGTGGTGTGTTAGTGTGTGTTGTGCTGGCATGAGTGGATCAGACAGTTTTTAAACACTGTGTCCACTCACTGTCCACTCTATTAGACACTCCTACCTTGTCAGTCCACCTTGTAGATGTAAAGTCAGAGACGATAGCTCATCTGCTGCTGCACAGTTTATGTTGGTCATCCTTTAGTCCTTCATCAGTGGTCACAGGACGCTGCCCACAGGACGCTGTTGGTTGGATATTTTTGGTTGGACTATTCTCAGTCCAGCAGTGACACTGAGGTGTTTAAAAACTCCAGCAGCACTGCTGTGTCTGATCCACTCAGACCAGCGCAACATACACTAACACACCACCACCACATCAGTGTTACTGCAGTGCTGAGAATAATCCACCACCCAAATAATACCTGCTCTGTGAGGGTCCATGGGGGTCCTAACCACTGAAGAACAGGGTAAAAAGGGGCTAAAGTATGCAGAGAAACAGATGGACTACAGTCTATAATTGCAGAACTACAAAGTGTACCTATATAGTAAGTGGAGCTGATAAAATGGACAATGAGCATAGAAACAAGGAGGTGGTCATAATGTTATGCCTGATCGGTGTACATGCCATCTTTCAAAGAATAAGTATCACTGCTTGTTAAGTAACTATTTAAAAAAAAAAAATAAAATACTCTGAAGAAGGACTCAAGAATGGCTTATTTACAAACACTGAAGATCCTGCTAAAGCCTGAGTAGACTGATAAAGTTTTAGTGAACTTTTCTGAAGGATGACTGAACAGTCCCCTTAGTAGTGCATGTTATCGAGTGATAAGTTTAGCTTTAGTATTGTACTGGACTTGTGCATGTGTTCCGTGGCAAGTTACATACCTATCATGAATTGAAAATCACATAGCTACCCACTTTAAAAAATACCCATTTTGGTATTCATTTGAATGATTGTTTTTTTCATGAAACATATTAACAAAAGAGTTACATAAACAAAACTGCCAACCAGTAACAGTGAGAAACACAAACACATTATCCAAACCGCTTATCCTTCTGGGTCGTGGGGGGAGCTGGAGCCTATCCCAGAGGTCATCTAACTGAAGGCAGGATACACCCTGGACAGGTGGCCAGACCATCACAGGGCCAGTGAGAAACAGTGTTAAACAGAATTACATAAAAAATACAGTATAGTTTTTTTCCCTCAGACCTTTCAAAATATATCCTAATGTAATATAAACGTATTCTGAATACATTACTTTTTTATGTATTTTATATAGTAACAGAATACATTACTGAATAAATTTAGGACAGTGTGTTCAGTATTCAGCCATCTGTACATTTTTAAAGATAACTGACAAAGCAAGAGAAGACTATAAAGATATCTTAAAGGTATCTAAACACTTCCTTTTAGTCATCTTTTTTGTCATCTTTAAGAAATACTAAGGAGAAAAAGTTTAATTCAAGACAAGTATCTCATAGAATTGCTTTTAAACTGGTCAAGTATGCAAAGCAAAACCCCTACATCACTGGCCAGGACCTCCAGAAGTTATGGCTGGCACAGGAGAAATGATGCACCAGCCCACTGTGCAGGCTGTTGCATAATCTACACGGAAGGATTATCAGAAGTTAAGCTTAACTGTGAACTCATCACAAAAGTCAACATCTGAAGTATGCAAAACAACATCTAGATAATCTAGAGGCATTTTGAAAGCAAGTGCGGTGGTCTGAAAAAACAAAGTTTGAACTCGTTGGCTACAACCTCTAATGTTGGAAATGAGCTCAGATTTTTAATATAGTCAAACAAAATACTACCTTTCGAAAGTGAAATAATTTAAATGTTATTTTATAATACATAATAAAAACTTGTACAATGTAATTTCATATAATGCAATGCACACCATTTAAAGAAAACGAACAGTCTGTTAATCGTGGGAACAAATTAAGAAATCGTGGCCACGAATATAAGAAAACGTGTACAAATTGCAAAGCGTTTGCTCCAATTATTTTTTATTTGTACCAGGGCTCTGTATTTCCCTATTCCTGATAATTATTGCAAATATGTAAATTTGCACAGTACTAGCATCATATTAGAAGTATACATGTATACATATAAAGAAGTATACATATTAGTATACATGTACCAGCAACCACATTGAAAAAATAAAAACAAGACTGGTGGGAGTTACAAACGCTCAGTTCAGTGAAGTTTATTTAGTCTGTTAAAACGACAGCTTCACTTTATATTTCACTTCATAGTTTTACATAATCTTGACATTCAAATAAGCAGCATTAGTACAGGCATACATCCGGACACAACCTGTGTCACAGGCTAACAGTACTCATGTAATCAAGGTGTCATCACTTAAACAAAGGCATTTACAAACAAATGAAAATTGAACAATTAAATATCGCAAGTGCAATAAGTAGATTTTACTTTAAAGTTATAAACATGAACAAATGAATATTAGCCCTTATTAGTGTATATAATGAGAATATAGTGGATGCATCAGAGGTTTACATCCTGTGTTGATATTTTGACAAACTTTGTAGCAAGCAATTAGCCAGAGGCAGAATTTGTGTTTCGTGCAGGGGCGCTCTTGCAGCTTTGGTAATTTGAGCAGTCTACATTTTTAGGAACATGTCCCAGGTGATGCAACACAGCCTAGTCTTGGTTTCACAGATTGTGGACTACCTTTTAGTCAGAAAATGAGTTTGATTTAGACTCTCTTGTAATGGAAGATATGTTCAAGGATAATGGCTGAATGAACTACGTATTCAGCAGCAGTGACCACATCAGGTTCCAGGTTCCAGGTCTTTCTTGGTTTTATCCTTCGTTCCATGATCAGAAGCACACTTGACACATCCAGTCAACTTATTAGTCTGAAGAAAAAAAAAAATCAATACATTTAGTATAATTAATGTTCACACAAACTCTTTCAATCAGAAGCTACAATAGTAAGTTAAGGCTAGTGTCACTGCAAATTGACACTTGAAGCCTATGAGCTACACTGCCTTATCTCTGATTAATACATTCACTATGACTGAAAAACTAGTTAAAGGGCCCATATCAAGGAAAACTCAACTTTCCTCACGTTTCCAATTCAATTAAAGAATTTGGTGTAGTGTGTTAACATTGTTAGCAAGTCAGTAAATGGAAACTAATCTGCAAAACCAGACAGTTTGTGATGTCACAAAAACAAAACAACAATTACACATATTCGCTCATCCTATTTGGCTACCTATTAACATTGTTAAAATGTTAAAAGAGATGGTTCTTCAAGGGTTCTTTGGACAACAGTTCTATTAGAACCATGAGTTCTGTACTTCATAATTAAATAGTTCTTGGCATGGTTCTTCAGATTGATGGAGAATGTGTTGTATCTGGTTGTATTTAGAACCTTTGTGAAAATGGTTCTATACAACACTAAAAAGGGTTCTTCTATTATTACAAGCTTGACATCTTAACAATAGAGAACGCTTTTTAATGCTATATAGAACAATTTTCTCAAAGGTTCTATGTAGAACCAGATACAACACATTCTCCATCAATCTGAAGAACAGTTTCACCATTTAAAGAACCATTTAAGCATGAAATAAAGAACTCATAGTTCTAATAGAACCATTCCCTTTACTAAAGAACCCCTGAAGAACTGTCTTTTTCCAGGGTGTACTTACAAGAGTTTCAGCCTGGACTGTTTTCTGAATGATGGCAATACAGGGCAGCCAATGGGAACTAAGAACATTTACGTGTATCAGTCTTAAAAGCACCATATCCTTTGTAATCCTAAAATAAAGAGAGGCTGGAAAATGGTCATGTAAAGTGGATTATTTCTAAAATACACAAATGTCATAAGTAGACCTAAGAGGAAAAAACAAAATATAAGAAACAAGTTAGATATGGACCGTTTAAAACCCTGCTAGGAAAAAAAAACAGCAGAGACCAGCATGCTTGGTCATGAGCAAAGCCAGCATATGTTGTTCTGGATGCTGGTATGCTGGTCAACCAGCATGACCATGCAGGGTGACCCCCTTAACCACCATCACCACTTAAACCTGCATGGACTTTGTGCTGGTCTGTGCTGTTTTTTCAATAGGGAAGACCAGGACGTGGCCTAGACATAAACAGTGAACAGTTCACTTACATCCACAGGACACTTCCTCCTGACAGTTCCAAGTTTGGCTCGCACAAGTTCAGAAACAAACGCAGTGAGCTGCAGCAGTGTGGTCCTTAACATGAAGAAGATTTGGTGGTGGTCGTGGTGGGAAATGGCTTGGCTCACTGAGCTCACATTGTGGTCCGTCTTACAACCCACACACAGCACCTTCCCAGGCTCAGAAAGTAAGGTTAACCTCACTGAGAGAGTGTCACCCACCCGAAGACAACCGAGGATTTTACCCAAACGACTCGCTGACTCTGAAGTGTCCGCCTCAGGCATCCTGGACTCGTGTACTACTTGTGCTGCTTTCCTGCCTGTGTTTGAGCTGGTACAACTCGCAGCCTTACACAGCCCAGAGTCCCTGCTTGTGGGGAGGTTACACAGCTGTTTTATCTGCCTCTTCTGCCTCTTTTGCTCTCTGAGTTTGGCAAACTCCAACCGGACTGAAACAGACGGGACTCTGGGAAAATCCACTGGCGCTTTCGGCAAAACAGATCCCCACAGAGAGCTGCTCCTCTTCGGCTCCTCCGGATTTTCGGCTCTGGAAACGGAGGGCACCGCTCCGTAGGTCAGTCCGAGGCGGTAAGCAGAAGTTGTGGGTCTTTTACACCGGAGAACAGCTGACAGCGCTGAGGCAGACGGAGTTGAGGCCATCGCTGGCTTTCACACTCCTCCGTAGGCCAGTCTTGAGATATTTCAGTGAAGCCCGATCCTTTACTTAACGTTTTGAAGAATATAAACGTAAAGGTCGTTTGGTTACGAAATAAAGTCCCTGAGCTACATGTGACTAGACACACACACTTTCAGCGTACAGGCCCAGATTTACGTCAGACCAGAGGGTCCTGGTTAGCACACTGCTTTAACCTGGACCCAGGGAGGGTGGGTGAGGATTATATAGCCTTGCAGAGGCGGGTAGAGTAACTTAAAACCATACACCAGTCATAACACTGAATAAGCACTCCAAACTCTGTACGAGAGATAAGTGATTTATAATATTTAAAAATAAATACTGACCTTGACATTTTACTTGTGACTTTCATTGGCCAAGTACAGGCACCGTCATCCTGGAGTCCCCTGCTGAAAAAACCAGCACAGACCAATTTTATGCTGGTCTAGGCTGGTTTGTGCTGGTTTAGCTGGTCACCTGGCAAGGTCTTTAAAGCCTTGACCTCTTGATCAAAAGTTCTCTGAACGGTATAGTAACACCAGCTTCAGTCAGCTTACACTCTCAGAATAAGGGGGCTGTCCAGGCACATTTCTTGCATTCAAAGTACAAACATTCACTTTTCCAGAAGAAAGGGGCCTGTTTTTTAATAACGTAACGTTTTTTACTTCCTCTACAGGGAACAAACCTCACTGTGACATTGCTCTGCATATTTTACTGCACACTTTCTTTTTTTGCCAAGTTGAACATATTCTAAAATATAAAATGTGCCATAACTTTTGCACTGGCTACATTTTCTGTTTTTTCCCCCCAGTATGTTAAGTTCAGCAAGTAAACAGTATGTGTACATTAAAATGTACAGAAGTGTGTCCTCTGTAGAGGGTGTGTTCACTTATTTTCACTTAGACAATCAACTAAACATGTAATTTAAGCAGGGGCACCCAAACTTTTGCATATTGACTCCATATCCCTACAGGAACTGATTCATATAGAAGAATTTGAAAAGAGAACTAAAATTATTATTATTATTATTATTACTGTTGTTGTTTGGTGGTGGTGGTGTTTTATTATTATTATTATTATTATTATTATTGTTAGTAGTAAGAGTAGTAGTAGTTGCAGTAGTAATATTTACATTTCTTCATCTTCTTCTTTTTCTTCATATTATAATTTAAACATTGTTAAATATTATTCTAATAGACATACCTTTGAGAAAACACCTCCAGTTACAGTGTTTCTACCCTGAAAAGTACATTTTTTCTGAGTGTTTTTTTCATGCCAAACTGAAATCCAGAGCACGAAATGTTTAGAATTATAGATGTATGTTAAAGTAACTGGACTAACTGACACTCTCAATGACTGATGTATCTGAGTTTCAACAGTTAACTTTCATTACAGGACTAGAGGAAAAAAACAGTAATATAATTGGACATTTTCAGTCTGTATTTTTAGGTAAAGGGAGGCAAAGCAATGATCTTGCATCAGCCTCTCATGCAGACTTTATTAGCATTGTTTGCTATAAATCACTGCCAAACACCTAATGGTTAAAGAACTGTTCCCTGACCTGGATTTATGTTTATGTCTAATCCTGTACTGCCAATTCATCAGCTGTGAAAAATGACATCTACATTTATAATCCACTAGAGGGCAGTGGAGGACATCTAATGACCAAGTAAAGACCAGAGGTTTAGGTGTTTGACAGAACAACTGAAACCTGGCTCAGAAAAAAACGTACATGCTCAAATGACTCTTAGCAGAAATATACCTACACCCGGATACATGTCCCTACACATACACCCTCACTTTAAAACTACAAGATTAGAACTAGACTTCCTCTTTTTTTGCAGTTTTGTCAGGTGACTTTGTGAAGTTCAGTTCCTATTCACAGGTATGAGGTGGCAAGCTGGAACATACAGGAATTGTATATATTTATGGTCTTTCAGTTTTGACAAGAACTTAAATATTATTGACAATATACTCTATATAAACCAGCAGTCCCTCTTTGTGACAATTTTTAATTAAATACACACAAAACAGGTGTTTTATTGAAGCAGCACTATTAGTTCTTTTATAAATGCTGTCCAAAGAAATACATTGTAAGAGCAGTCGACTGAATTAGTAAGATCTTAAGGAAAAGAGAAACTATTGTATAATTTCCAAATCGTTGAGAAAGCTAAAATATACAGCATGTACAACAAGTATATTATCATAAATGTGATCATTATGGTTGCTAGCTAATGCAAGGTCATTCGTGTTTTGATAATCTAAGATACTTGTCAAAGATTTGTGGAGTGGTTTATGTTTTTCTGTTATAACTGTTACAGTGCAGATTTGTCTTTCTGTGTGGAAACTCCTGTCTCTTCAGTGTCATCAGGAGGCTCCCATCATTGCTCACACTTACTAGAGTTCCTTCAAATATGAACAAGGTCTACAGTCTGCAGTGCATCATGCCAAAGCTATTTAAAAGCCTTTTCACGAATGGATAAGGGTCATCCTCTGCCCCATGTCACAGTACCAGTTGGTTTGGTTGGTTTGTCTTCATCCTCGTACTCAGCTCAGCTATTAGTTTGTCCACACCACTAGCCATCAGTGTGGTTTTGGTGGAAATCGTTTCCTTGTTGTTGTGGTGGAGCTGCTTGAATCCTCAGGTTTGGCATCACCACAAAGGTCAAAATGCCCACTATCATCAGCGCCACTGTGACTACAATGATGGCGGCCACCACAGCATAGTAGCAGCGGTTGGAATGGAAGGCTCTTCCCAAGCGTCCTCTCATCCTGTTTGGGGGTCTCCCCACATCTATAATGGTAACCACAGCAATACCCTCTTGTATGACTCCGCTAGGCAAATCTTGGCCTGGCTGCACCTGTCTTTGCTGTTTGTCAAACCCTGGCAGTTTTAGGCTCGTCTTCGAGGGGCTGCTTCCTGGAGGAGGCTTCTTGAGGACAAGTTTGCCCTTGCTGCGCTCAAAGCGTACGGACTGTGCCCTCTGCATCTGAGGGGGCAGCTTGCGGAAAATGTCCTCATTGTTGCCAAGCTGTGGCAGGTCTCGGCCGTGCCGTATTTCGGTCAGTTCCCGGCACACAGGGCAGGAGAGTGTCTTGATCTCCATGGAGGAGACATTGATGCGAGCCAGGCACTCCAGGCAAAAGGTGTGGCCACAGGCCAGTATCTTAGGGGTCTTAAAGACATTGTCATAAGTGCAGAAGCACACAGGACACTCGGTGTCTTCCAGGTTGTCCTCAGGGTATTTATCTCGACCTGTGCCATCACTGTTCCATTCCCGGCCACGACGCCGTCCCTCTTCACTTCGACCCCGCTCCCTCCTATGCCCATGCTCTCTATCCCGCTTCCTCCGTCTGCCGCGGCGCTCCGAATCACTACTACGGCTCCTCCGAGGGGGCCTGTCACATTTTTCTGGCTTTTCCTGTGTCCGCTGTTGGTTTTTGGCCCTCTGGTCATACTGCGGTTTGACATTGGGTTTGAGGTTCCCCTGCCCTCCTTCCCCACTCCTTCTCTCCCTGTTGTCTGACATGGCACAGAGTTTTAGAGTTCAGGAGAACAGAAGAATGAAGCAGCCAGGGAAGCTGAAGCCGCCAGCCTGTGAAAGGAGATCAAGTGATATGTTATCAGTGGTATAGAGACATGCACACAGTATGAACACTGACTCCACTGAGATGAATTTTTCTTACTTTTTTTTCTCTATTCCACTTTAGGAAGGCCTCCTTTTATCAGTGTCATTCTTATTTCAATCTGGAAAAGTACTTTGTAAAAGTCCCTTTGGGAGTTTTTTGTCCCTACACGTCTTGTTTACCGTAAGTGTTTTGTTGCTCGTTCATTATTTTATTCCTACTGTGGAAACGAATAAACAAACCAGTGCATAAAATCATTGGTGACATGGTAACAATTTGTTTATCCAACAGTTTGTTTATTGGTAACAATTTGTTTATACAAATGTATTACGGAAAGTATTGACGTTGAAGCACCATTTGCCTTTAGCCTAATGTATCTCACATAGATTACCTTTTAAACATCCGTTAGCTTAACATTTTTAAAATTTACTTCATTTAAATACTTTCTAAAATAACCAACTTGTGTTACTTTTTAAATAGTAAAATAAACGAAGTACATTCTTCCTAAGGATCTTACTCTTCATTTGGTTACCATGACATCTTTTATTGACTGTTTTTTAGTTTCAGACGATTTTAGTAAGAAAATTAACCACCCGTGAACCTAAATGTGTGTTGATAATATTACTACTGAAAAACAGATTTAGAGTTTAAATTTCAGTGATATTACTCATTCTGGTCCCATCACATTTAGTTAACTAGGTAATTCCACTCCAGCTCGCCTGGCAGGTTATATCATGATTTCCATTAAAAGAATACATGCATAAACCTAGATTTCATTCATGCCTCAATGCAAAATTTCAAAGTAGATGTTTAATTGTGCTTCATAATGCTTCAAATGCATTCCAGAGTCAGAGGCCTTTTTGACCCCATGTTTTCTCAAAAGGCATTAATCCTGTTTCTTACAAACATTTTCCTAAATAAAGACAGTCATGTCTCAATACAGATGTTGTGAAGAAGATTAGATGTTTTTGAATATAAAGCAGGACAGTGTGCTTAGCTGGGGATGGAGTTTTTGATGGAAATCCATTATATGACATGTCAGTAAGTAGGTGACTTGGCGTGGTATAACTACATTTAATACATATAATTACATTTTTGTTGTTAATTATTTATTAATGATTACTTATTAATGCTGTTCTATTGGGAATCACACTTGCTTTCTGTTGCTCATACTTCTCACTTTCAAGATATTTCATCTTAGACCAAAATGGCTTAAAAAGAGAAGAATACCACCTAAAGGTAGTTGTGCTGATACAGCCTACGATTGCAGTTCTATAAGGAAAGTAGCACTGAAGTAACTTAAGTTGTACTTGAGTGTGGTTTTAGGATACTTGTGATACTTTCAAACAGTGACTAATGCAGTGTAAAATAAGACACTTCTTACATTTCCAAGCAAATGATTCATTGCTATTCATCACACATGATCTGATTTCTGAAAACGAGTAAGAAGTAAGCATTTTTTTTGTTGTTGTTGTTGTTAAATGAGCTTTTGTGATGACCACATACTGTGAACAATGTCTCAGTCTGTATTACGGAAATTGTAATGTGGGCAAGGACATGTTAGAAGACAAGTTCAGTACTTTGAAGCAAAAGCTGTTATCTTATAAATGCCCTGTTGGATTTAGGCTCATGAACTGGGATATTGAGACTATTTTGAATGCGATCATGATATTCTATTGGGTTAGGCATAACTTTATATATTAGCCATAGCAGGCCTGCTGCAGCAAACTCTCAGTTCAGCATCCTAAGGAGCGTTTAATTTCTTTATAGGAATATCATAGTGTATTTTTCTACTTGCAGTAACATTATATGGCCTTGAAACCTTTTTAATAGAGCCATAACATAATTTATGAGCCACTATGTAAGTGAAAGAAGAGTCAGTACTGACATAAGGCTGGTATTCAAATAAGACTAAGGTTCAGGTGTGTGGTTTAGTTTCCAAATGCAGATTTCTGGAGTGTTAGTGAAGATTTCTCTGAATATGTGAATGTTTCACTATATATGAAATGGTCTTTTTCAGTACACAGTTAAGGAGACATTCCCTATAATGCCACCCATATTTTGATTGGGGAACAATCCCACAAGTCTCAAACTATCACATTTCAATTCCTGGTCCAGTTCCCTGACCCCCGGGCTTTCAGCAGGTGCCAGGGAGCAGTTCAAAGTAACAGCCCTTCCAGAAAATGGATCAGTGAAGCTTCTGTAAAAGGGCCTTTTCTGGCTAATGGCTAACTGCACAGATGTAAACAGTGATTTAGCTAATTCTCAGTGAATGATATTGGCACCGTCCTTACCTGTGGAGGTTTGAATCCTCAGGTACAGCTCAAGCCTGCTTGGCTCCGACAGCGTATGACATGTAATCCTGTTTAGCTGTGCATCTCTTCCCCACTGTCCGAGCCAGACGCACAGTGAAGTAGCAGAACCAGCCCTTTGTGTATTTCAGCCCTCCTCACTTCGTTCTATGCTCATTCTTTGCGTACCAACCAGACTTTCTTCCTTGATGTTCTTCTCCTCCCTCCCACTCACCTGTGCTAATCATCACCTTTACTCACCCTCCCTCCTCCATGTCAGACCTGTTAGACTGGTCCCGGTAGTATCTGAATCTACATTACAGCGCAGAGCTACTAATCTAGAGTTGCATAGCGTTTGCATGTTTTTCTTTTTTAAAGCTTATGGGCCTGTACACCATGGATTCTATTTCATATTTGTACACCCCATGGTTGTAGCATTCTAACACATTCTATGCTGTTCACGCTGACTTCAGAGCCAAAACTGTAATAAACTGGCACAATGGGTATGTTCATTTGACAGGTAAACACTGCTAACTAATATGACTCAGGTGTTTGCTAAACAAAAATTGATCAGCAAAGTTCTGAAAACCTGCATATCACATGCTTTCAATACACTGCTTCTGAGTAAGGTTGTACAGTACAAGATTTCCAGGCTAAAAATGTAATTAGGTAAAAAAAAAAAGCTGTCAAGTCAGGCATCTAATAAAGGAAAAAAATAGCATGGAGAGTTAAAAACTATTCCTGAAAGCCACTGAACATTCCTCAATACTTTAGAAAAGAAAAAAAGACAAAAATTGCAAACCTCTTTGAAAAAGAAAGGGGTTCTTTGAGTGATGCCTTAGAAGAGCCACTTTTGGTTCTCTACAGAACCATGTCTAATAAAGAGAACAGGGACCCCCAGGAGATCCACATTTTTGCTCTATCCTTGTGTGTTGCACGTTCTGTTGGACCATGAGGACCGGTTTGAGAACCACTGCTCTAAAGAACCATCCACTGAAAGGTTTTTTTAGGGAACCGAAAGTGGCTCTTTTGGCTCCCTGGTACACGAAAGCTTCTCCTGAAAGACAGTGTGGCCATCTGTGACCCCCCTAACAAAGTGACAACTGGCATTTGTACTAACCTATATATAATCTCTGCAGGAAGTTCTAAAGCACACAAGAAGCCAGATCGATAAGCTCTGACCACAGGCTACACATGCTAGTGCTTCCATCTCGTCAGGTAGAATCACATTGATCTGCTTGGTCTTTTGCAATATTTTGTATTACAGTAGTAGCCATTTCATGTTTCAAAAGGCTTCTGTAACAGCTTTATTTTAAACATACTTATTGATCCAACAGTTGGCCTCAGGTAAATTCAACCATTTCGCCTTCAGTGTAGTGCACGTTTTATGTTTTTCCCCACAAGCCTCAACAGGGGAAAGGTGAAACTACAAGGGTAATAATCAACAAATTAGTGAAATATTAAACACCGGCATACTTTAAACTGGGTTCCCACTTAAATATCCAATCACTTATGAGTAAATACTGCTTATGAAATGATAGTTATTAAAGATGTGTAAGGGATAAAGATCTGCTTGTATTTTAAACACCAGTGCATTTTATATTAGCCTAAATATGTACTATATTGTAGGAAAAAGCAAAACAAATACACAAATACAAACATAGGAACATGTATTCAAAATATATTCTTATCGTACAAACATACAGAAACAAACCTAATTTAAGCAAATCTTGACTTTGTAATTTTTCAAGTAAGTACAAGGTTGGTCCATATTTGTGAGCATGGTTGTGTAATACTTAACTCAGTACACACCTGCCACATTCATATTTACCACTGATAGAAGCTCAAGATAACAGCCTCTAAAGATGCCTGGCATTCTTCTAACAAAACATTTATGGCACCTGTTAGTCTAGAATCGTAAGCAAATATTAAAACAGTTCTACCTAATTATAGCACAATCTACTTAGAATAAGCCACCCATATCAGGTAGAGTGAAGGCAAGCATGAACGTCAGAGAGACTCCTTATCCCCCAGCTATTGCTGCAGCACTGCTGTTGCTTCACCACTGCCTTTACTTTAGACTTTTACTACTAACTCAACTATATGTAATGTAATACAGCTCATTCCAAGAAGACGTATTTTATTGTCTTTCACTCTGAGAACACCCCAATTAAAAACAGAGGTAAAAAGCATTGAGAGGAACTTGACCGCAGGGCTTTGAGCCTGAGTAAAATAACAGGTTTTGTCCATACTCCTTTACTCATGAACAAGTCTGGTTTTTCATTCTTCTCTTTCTCTGCTGCGTCACTGCAGCTCAGGCCTGTATGAGAACCATGCAGAAACACTGTGTTTTCAGTTCAGCCCAGTTCCTCCCGAGCTTTGCCCTGTTTGCGAGGCATTTTCTTACTGCTGCTGTCCTCCAGCTCTTTGCTCTTGTAGTAGTGAGGAGCCACCTCTAACAGCCAGCTGCTGTCTATCTCGATCACCTGAAAGAGACAGAGATCAGAAGTGCCAAAGAAGGTCAGACAAACAGCATCTACCTTTATTATATTTTGCAATGGAAAAAAAGGCAAGTAGAAGAAAATAATGAAGATCTCACTTGTCTCATAAACTCCTTGGTGGTGAAGACCAGCTCATGGTAGATAAGCCAGCGGGGCTGTTCCTCAAACAGAGAGCTGTTGGGATGCACATAGACCGTCTGCTGGTGTTTTACTGTCTTATAGCCTCCCTTACTGAGGTGGGCTGTGTGGTAGAAATAACCTGCAGTGACGGCCTAGGAGACAAGAAAGAAGAAAGAAAGAAAGATGTTACATCAACATATCACAGAAAGACAGTAAACCAACATAAAACAGTTATGTTTGGAAGAAGCCTGAGGATTTGAGAATTAGAAGGGCCTGAGCGCTGACAAATACTGGCTGATAGATGATGCTTACAGGACAGCTGCTTTCTTTGTACCTGGGTAACATAATGGAAAACAAAAACAAACACAGCTGATATTTATAGTAGGGCTAGTATTGGAAAATGCCTGTAGACAGTGAAGACTGTCTTTCTGGATGAGGTTTCTCTTTAGAGAAAAGCCAAAAGGAAGTACTGAACCACAAATGTCTGCTCCCAACAGTCCAATATGAGAACAGATCAACACGATCATGTTCATGGTTAAGAACAGGCCACTCTCCAACTTGGGAACCATTCAAATCACAATGTCATCCAAACAAGGCCAAAAGTTACTCAGAAAGCAAAAACATAGCTCAGTTCCTTTCTACTGAAATAGCAGACACTATACAAAAAAGAAATCACTGGTAAAATCTGACAAAACTCAGCAATAGTTTGTAGTGTTTGGCTCAAATAACACACAAAAGCATGCTTTTTCGGGTTGTTTTGACTACTGCGCTGGCACAGATTTCCACAACTGTGAGGAACTTTGTCCGCTTGCGGCTTTACCAGCAAAAAGACTGGCTCTTTTTAGTAATAGGCGAGGCTTTCCTCATAAAAAGATGTCGTATCGTGTGTTACGAGCTTTCCCATTCATTTTTTAACCAGTAACCTGTCTCCTCCTTTGTAACGCCTCTGGTAGTACTGACATGACCGTGTTAAAGGGCAATTCCACTGATTTTTTAAAAATTCATGCATTTATGAGGTGAACAAAGTGGTCTGATGTGAAGTGCACCATTCTAGATAAACAGAGTCTGAACTGTTCACAGTGAGGGTGATAGGAAGGAATGTCTGAGGTATTTACTGCTTCAAAAAAAGCTACAGAAAGTTATCACACAAAATGGTTACACATATGTTGCATGGTGCCTGTGATATTGTTTCACAATAGTTCTGAGATAAGGTTTTGGCCTAAAGCATATTTTTAAATCCATTCATGGTGGAAAGGTACATGCAGGGTGTTCTAAGGCAAAATAGTTCCCAAAGAAAATATTTTTTTCAGATTTATTCCCTTTTTTTAACCAGTTTTACCATTATCAAATTACACATGAACCATTTCATGACAAACCACTCCAACTGAGTTACAGAGAAATTTTGAAAAATCAATGGAATTCCCTTTTAATATTTATATAAGTATTATTTAATATAAATTATATTAATTATATTAAATTATATTATATAAACATAAGTGCATTCCCAGGAGTTCAGCATTTTAAGATGATGTGGAGCTGATATCTAGCCATTAGAATACAGAAACCATCTGAAATGTTCTGCTGTGTTTTAGGGGTTGGGGAAAGTCAAAGTGAGGAAAGTGCAGCTACCTTGCGGATGGGGATGCTGTCACCATTAGCGCTGCACACCTCCACCTCAATCCTGTCCATCAGACCCTCCAGCTGCTCCCTCACGTCTCTTGCGCGCTTCATTGAGCGGAACTGAATAAAGTTCTCAAAACACCACTGAGTGGAATAACCACTTTCCACCCACTGTCAAAGAGAGAAATACACAGACATGGAGACAGTGTGTAAGACAAAGAACAATATAATTTTATTACCTCAAACTCAAAATGCTGGCAATAAATGGAGGATTGGGGTTTTGCATCATTTTGGCTTTATGGCATCGTAACAGCGAGAAGCTGCTCAAGGCTTTAATTATTTACGTAATGAGCTGCATGTCCAATTTAAAATAATATTTCCAAAAAGTAGGTTGAAACAGAGATATTGGACTGGGTCCAACTATAGGTTTGGTTCACCCCGATGAAATGAATAAATGGTGAATGAAAGAGAAATATTAATATGTTAAAGAGCCCATATCCATTATTTTCCTTCAGCTCTACTCATAACATTGTGTGGTTTTATGTACCAAAAATGCCAAATTCCAAATTTATTTTTACATGACCATTTTTCAACTTCTCTCTGTCCCTGAGAATAAATAGGCATTTTTTTTACTGTGCCTTTAAAACTGTTATATGTAAATGAGCTCTGTTCTGATAGACTGCCCAGTATTGTGCCTTGTTCAAAAAGCATTTTGGGCACTGTTTATAACCTCAGTGTGAATAAAGGGAGCTAAACTGTAGGAGGAGTAGTGGATATATGTGAATGTGATAGTTTGCATGGCATCACAAAAACAATACAGCTGCAGCTTAGTTTTCATATATGGACTGTATGGACTGGGGAGTGAACAGTACATTTTGAAACTTTAACAATGTTTTACACACTACATAATATACTTTTACATACTATATAAAACTTATTTTGATAAAGGGAGAAGAATTCTGTTGTTTTTCATGATATGGGCCCATCAAGGTATGTGTGAAAGCTTTGAGTGACTTTAAATTAATTTTAATTTTAATTAATCAATTAAAAACTAGTGACAGGTTTATTTGTCTTCAACATTCAAGCAGAACTTTCCAACTACAGGACATTTTTAGTACATGCCACTACTGTAAGGTTTTCTTAAGAATGCTGTAAATATGTAACCATAATAGGAATATTAATGTGTATAGAAATACAGCCATCGGCAAAACCTGATGGATACTGTTCCTTTCCTTCCTATGTAAGTATAAGAGAGTTTTTCTTTTTTAGAATGAACAATTGCAGCTCTATACACCTCTGAACCAGTATATCACGTGTGCTACATGTCACGCACAAACACCTCACTGTCATGCAGTGCTTGGACTGGATGCACCATCACACAACATAGTGATGATACAGTCTGACACTGCAGTCTGAGCTGAAACAGGTAGAACCAGTTCCAAGTCAACAGCACGCATCCTGTGACACGTATGCCATAAGGAAGTCAGACATTTGCGTCAAAGGAATAAAAAAAAAAATAAATGGCCTAAAAAGGTAAACAAGGGCACAGAAAAACACAGACAGACAAAGTTTTATTTTACCTGTGTGTACACATTCAGAAGCACCAGATGGTCTCCTCCTGGCACCACAAAGTTCATTCGGGCATTGTCTGCATGCACCACTTTGTCTTTGGGCCGGTAGAAGATGGAGTTGTTGACGGACAGCATGGCAGCGATGGTCAACACTTCCTCTGAGCACTTATATCTGGGGTGTAAAAGAGAAACCGATTATATCAAATCACAGTAAAGAGTAAGGAAAAAAAGCTTAATTGTTCTCTATCTGGTCATTTTAATATCTTTACTTTGTACAGATCTCCTTACAAGCATGGTTAATTAAAAAGCCATTGATTGAAAGGTTCTTTAGGGAGCTTTTTTTAGGGAGCTTTTTTTTCTATGGCATCCCTCTGAAGAGCCTATCTGGACACTGTGCTTATATGGAGACTTACTGCTCAGAGGCCAAGATCATTTTACTCAGCATGGGGTCCACAGGCAGCTCAGCCATCCTCCTCCCCAACTGCCACACAAGAACATAGCCAAGTTAACCACAGCATACACTGTATCCCACATGTCCTATATTGCTCATTACAGTTGCAACTACTGGAATAGGTCTGCAAAAAGGCTATACAGCCTGGCTGTAAGACCATGTTTATGTGATGCCTAAACTTAGGGCTTTTGCATAGCAGCAAGAGAACTGCAGGAAGAATCAGATGGATGGGTATTGAGGCACCTTAGTAAGTTCTCCAAGGTGGTTAAGGGCACCCAGGGCATATAACTGTTCCAGAGCCAGCACCAGGGTTTCATGTGGTGGAGGGTCCATGAAGTCAAAATGGATCAGGTCATTTATGCCTGTAAATTATGCAAGAATATAAAAACAAAATACTCATAAATGAAGTAATAACATTCATCTGCACACAGAAGGACTGTGTTGTCTACTTGGAAAACTCATCCTCAAGCTAATACAAAATAGGCCACAGTCTAAAGATACACTTAAGCTAAGATACTACTAGAAAAAGGAGGCAATGCTGACACCTAAATACATAGATAATCAATACACAGAGATTTTATTTTTAAAAAGGGAACACAGAAGTGATGATTGAACTTAGGATGTCTACTATATTTATGCAGGCTGTTTTTTTTTGTAGGGTAGGGCTGGGATGATAAGCAATTTTGAAAAAAAAAAATAATAATAATATATCAGGCCAAAATGATCAGTAAGTATTTATATGATTTTATAGTAACATTTATGTACAGCCCAAAATATTAAAATCAATAAAAAAATGTCAAAAGAAAAGTATACATCAACACTAATGCTGTCTTTCACATCAGAACTCATGGCTCCTCATGGTTTGTTTGCATAGCTTTTGTTTTGCAGAGTTTCTACCGTGACTGTTTAACAAAAGAAAAACGATAAATTCTACTAATTGATTTCATGGCTATTATCAATAATTATCGAGAAATCAATTACCCCAATCACAGCTGTTTGTTTTGAGACTTGTATCTGGATTCACTGTATCTGGATCAACTTGGAAATCAAATGTGTCATCAGTTAATAAGTTTGAAATCTGATTGCTAGGTGGCGTGTGATATGCAAATCATATGCAAATCATATGCAACAACTAATTGTCTGTGTTGCTCCTCATTTTTACTGTTCTTTTCAAAGACTCAAAAATCACTTTTCATATTGTTATTAATTTCCTTAAACCGGCTTTACACTGATGTTCACAAAGAAGATGACTATTTTGAATAATTAGCCACCTGTATTAATCATTGCAGTCATGGATCATGTGCGTTAAATGCAATTTATTGTAGTGAGATGGTGCATAACAGTCAAAGTAAAGATTAACCAAACTGGCACTAGTTAACTAGTTTGGATCTCTAAAGGGTCCCAGCTCTAAAGTAGGATAACATTTTTTGTTGTTATTCACATTATTTCAGTACCTTTGTATAGTTAATTATTCCGCAAGTTTACACAAACAACTTTTTTCACTTTCTTTAGCGAGTAAAAAAGCACTCTCTATACAACCTCAGCAATAATGGAGGAACCCAGCACTAAGTCTTCAGACAGCTTTACTGTGTCTATGAGCTTCCTATAGATTCTTTTGAATAGATGTTTTTGCAGTATATTATTCTCAGAAAGTAGTTAAAAAAAATCCATGCAAAATAGAACGCATGTCAGAACAAAAGTTGAGATATGTCTTCTCATCGGAGAAAGTTGCGACAGTGTTTCCAAATAAAGCCTTATTCAGAAGACTTGTTCTACCTGCTGCATTACTTGTAAATCAAAACAATGACTAAGCTTTGAAAAGAATTTCAGTGCTGCAATGCTCTGTGTAAAGGAAGAGAGTATGTTTGAACAACCATTGTGGAAAAACTGGAACTGGAACACACTCATTGCTGTTAAACAATAAAGGAGAAGTTTACCACAAGCAAACTGACCTAACTGCCTGTTGTGAAAATGATGTATGATCCACTTATAATTTATACATTAAGAGATAGGACTAATATTTTAATGTACGAGTTTATGTTTCACTGATTACCAAAAAAAGGCTTTAAAGTGCAATTTTGTGGTACCAATACATAAATAAATGAAATTTCTAGCCAAAAAGTGCATTTCCATCCTTACCCAGACTCTTTAGAAGCAGGACCACATTTCCTAAGTTGGTTCTTTGGATCTCAGGCACTGTGGTTTCCTCCATCTCGTGTTTGAAGGCCCAGGCTGTGTAGAGCCTAAAACACTTCCCAGCAGCCACACGGCCAGCTCTGCCTGCCCGCTGATTGGCCGAGGCCTGTAAAAGTTAGAAAGATGAATACAGAGAACTGGAACATGCTGTTTGTACCCAGTACAGAAGTGGGGCGTGATAACAACTCATTATTTGCCTTTCCACAAAGCAGCACATTTTATATCAACATTGTAATCACTGCATCTGTAAAAAAGTCATGCATCTTTTACCCGTGAGCATGGTGTAACAATCAGAGACTCCATCCCTGTTCGAGCATTGTAGCTCTTCTGTTTGCAGAAGCCTGGGTCAATCACATAGATGATACCATCAATGGTGAGAGAGGTTTCTGCTATGTTCGTGGCCACCACAACCTGAAACAACAACCACACCACCACCCTGTACTGTGATTTTTCATACTGAAATAGCTTACTTCTAATATTTCCATGCTTTGATTGCAGAGCTCAGGTCACCTAGGTAACTCACCTTACTGATTTTAATTTACTGAATAAATATAAGGGACAAGAAGGAGAGATAGAAGGGAGCATTTCTGTCAATGTATCTTTGGATGCAAGTGCAGTTTTTGAATCCACAATCCAAACTGAACCCATGAATCATGCTAAAAGTTGACTGGTCATTGAGATTAGTTTGATCTGAAATGGTTAATTGTAGAGAAACTTACCAAGTTGGACTTGTTTACAACAGTGGTGTTAAGAATCAGGGGTCGTGATGTCCATAGCAGAAATATAGCCATTTTATTTGCTATTGAAATGACCAGTGAACCTATATTTATATGCAAGGTTGATCTTGGCAAAATATTGCTAAACCCGTTTATAGATAAACTTAGTCAGAATAGATTAAATCAGAATTGTTCACAGTGGTGATTATAGGAACCAGACATCTTTTATGTCTCTAAAAACTACTTCACAGAAAACCTATTACATGAAATGATTATGATTACACTGCTGGAGACATTATTTTATGCTAAGCTTAATATATAGCGTAATATATATATATATATGTGTGTGTGTGTGTGTGTGTTAGACTAAAAGCTTAGCATAAAATAATGTCTCCAGCAGTGTAATCATAATCATTTCATGTAATAGGTTTTCTGTGAAGTAGTTTTTAGAGACATAAAAGATGTCTGGTTCCTATAATCACCACTATGAACAATTCTGATTTAATCTATTCTGACTAAGTTTATCTATAATGACTCATTCCGCACCAAACCCCTTGGAATGATTTAATCATTTTAAAAACTGGTGTAATGTGGGCTTTAATAGTCCTGCTTTTAGAAATCTCTAAAAGGCATCATATTTTCTGAAGTGTGACAGCATTTCCTTTTGCATAGTTGGTTCTTTTTAACATTATGTAGCCTACCCATGTAGCCTACTGTAATGCACCACAACAGAAAGTGAGCTTGTAAGTTTAACAGTCATTAAAATGGTCATTAAAACAGTCATTTAAATTTTCATTTTTACACACAGTGCTTAAGATCAATATGTTGACTCATTTTCTGAAATTCCTAGAACCTCTTTTGATGAGTCTATTTACAATTAATGTTTTACTTACATTCCATCAATCTAAATGAATTAAAATGATTAACTTTTGTAGTCTTGCAGGCCCCTAAACTGACCAACAGTAATGAAGACTGATTGCACCCCTAGTGGCAAAAACTTCAAACAGCAAAGTGTTACCTTGCGAGCTCCAGGAGGTGTGGGGTTAAAAATCTTGGCTTGCATGTCTGAGGGTAGATTGGCATAGATGGGGAGGACGATAAGTTCAGAGATCTTAGAGCCGAGCCTTCTACACCTCTCTTGTAAAAGTTCACAGCAAGCCTCAATCTCTTCCTATAAAACAACACAAGAAGGAATAAAAGCAGAATGAACAATGAGGTTGAAGCACAACAAACTCACAAGGTACTTGGTTTTGCAATCTTTGTCAGACAAACTGACCTGTCCAGTGAGGAACACAAGAATGTCCCCAGGAGACTGCGTGACATGGATCTGCAATACTGATACCACACATGCGTCAAGATAGTCAGCCTCTGGAGCCTGTGGAATAAACAACAGACATAAATATTCATTAGTAATCATGCTCACAACTAACACCTTTTCTGAGGATAATAATTCCATTGTAATCTACTGTGAAATATTTTGGAACAATAATCATATATAGTGATGTCATTCTACAGCACTCGCCTTGGTGTAGAAGATATCGACAGGAAACCTGCGGCCTGGTATCCTGAACACAGGTGCATCATCAAAGAAGCAGGAGAAACGTTCTGTGTCCAGAGTAGCACTGGCCACCAGCACCTTTAGGTCTGGCCGGAACCTTGCAATGTCTTTGATTAGCCCGAACAGTATGTCTGTGTGTAGAGTCCTCTCGTGGGCCTCATCAATAATAATTACGCTAGGAACAAGAAGTGGGCAGAAGCATAGAAGCATATGTAAAGCTAACAAAAAGGACAGAAAATTCTGGTCTTGGGGATATGATTTTGTTTCAAGCTAATACAAATTTTTTAACATCCATGACATTCATATAGTTGCAAACTAAAAAAAAAAAACAGTTTCTTCAACCATTAATGTCAAATTGTTATTACAAATTGTGGCAAAGCTATAAATTCACTCTGTGGTTACATAAACAGGCAGTGTAACATACCTGTAGCTAGCCAGGTCAGGTTCAGTGAGGAATTCTCTTAGCAGCATTCCATCAGTCATGTACTTAAGCACAGTGCGTTCAGATGTGCAGTCCTCAAATCGGATACTGTAGCCTACCTGATAACGACAAAAACATAACAATAACCAAAAAAAATAACCTTACTGCATTAGTCTTATTCTAGCCATAGTTATGTCCCCATTCAGCACATTATCTCCTCTCAAGCAATGCAGTGATTAAGTGTTTATCTAATGTAGTACGTGTCTATGTTTAAAGAAGATTTGTACCTCGTTCCCCAGCTTAACTCCCATTTCTTGCGCCACTCTGGCTGACACAGACATAGCAGCCACTCGCCGAGGCTGGGTGCACCCAATCTTCATCCCCCCTTTCGTATAACCCTGAGAGAACAGAAAGCACAGTACATGTCTAAAATCATTCTAATACAATGCTAGTTCTGTGCACCTTCAAACATTGAAAAACTAAAATCTCTACACAGTATTAGATCTACACCACATGTTTCAGGCTCCAGTCCTCACAGGCCAAAACACTGCAGACTTCATCACACTGCCTCATTAAACACACTCGATTCAGCTCATCAACTAATTAGCAAAGTCTTCATGAACTGAATTCAGAGCGTTAGATAAGGGTAAACTCTAATCTCCGCAGCAGTTTGGCCCGGAAGGTCCCCAGTTTGAAATGCCTGATGTACACTATTTTGCAATTTAAATAATTCTAACATAAAAAACAAAGAAATATTCTGTGATTATTATTAATTAGTGATTCTAAACTTTTGAACTGTAGTGTTTAAAACAAGTGGTGGTCAAACTCTTATGTAAAACATCCTCAATTACGGTACTCTTAAAACACTTACATCCTCAAAGAGGTACTGAGGGATCTGGGTAGTCTTCCCGGAGCCTGTCTCACCCTCAATAACAAGGATCTGATGGTCTCTAATGGCAGAGAGGAGGTCTTCTCTGTAGGGAAACACTGGCAGACTGCGCCTCACTTCCTGGATGGATTGCTTCTCTTTCTCTGCTTGAGAGATCTCAGGCTCACGTTCCTGTCAACAATGCAATGTGTCATTATTGAAGGAGAGTAAAGTTCAAGGATATGATATGAATGGAATATACTTTGTCAGTGAAGAACTGAACTTATGTACCAACCTTCTCAGATAGTGTTCCTTTCATTGTGATGGCAGTGCTTACAAAGTCAATCATCTCCTCCTCCTCCAGCACTAGTTGGTACTTCTCTTTCTCCTCCTTTATCCGTCGCTCCCTTTCCTCCCTGGCTCCGAACTGCAGGGTGGCAGTAGCGACCCGCGCCTCTTCCCAGCGCCCCTGCTCCCCACCTCCCTCTCTAGGACCCTCGTCAAACTCCAGTTCCATGTCCCTCTGAGGGATAGACTAAGTGCAGAGTGGGTGGGAGTAAGAACGGGAAAGAAAAGCAAAGAAAAGAATGAGAAAGAAGAAAAAATTACAAAATTATTGTAAATATTGTTTACTGTCATTTTGTTTTACTGGAAATCTCAGTTTTTTCACAGGGCTGTTAGTTGATGTAAATCAAACCATTCAGTAACCATACCACAGCTGTATAAATGACATTTAATTAGGGTTATATGTAAAACTGCAAGGAGGAGGTGGCAGGGGGGCTAAGCATTCATTAAAAATGACCAATATTTTTTCAAAATGTTTACATAATTTGTTAAAATGCAAACAAAGTCATTCAGAGTGGTTTAATGTGAAATTATTCACTGTGGAGAAGCTAACCAAGTCACACTGAGTTTAATACTTCTTTAAAAGCTCTTTCACAGGAAGTTATAACATAAAATATGAACATGCTGCCTTATTGTTTTAGAACATTTTTGTAATAGTTTTTAAAAGTTTTTTAAAAATCAATTCATAGTGAAGAGGTACAAGAAGGGTGAAACAAGCCAAAAATATTTTTTTTTCCAGATTTACAACTGTTTCACCGTTATCAACATTATACATAAAAACTCCATTTCACCTTAAACCACTCTAAATTACTTTGTTTATATCTCAACAACTGAATTATACAGAAATATAGAAAAATCTGTGGAAGTCCCTTTAAGCATTCCAAAAGTAACAAATTCACTAGGTTTATCTATTCAATCAGAAGTAGGCAATATGACAATATTTTATCATTATCGTGAAAGATTATGTCACAATATGCTTTTCTAAGTGATATTGTGGATATTGTCAGCGCTTAAAGTACACTAACTACATTTTATTACAAAGTGAGCATAATTAGGCCTGTTTAATTGGATTTAGTGCAGTGCAGTTTGTAAAATACTGAATAAAAATTATAGTAGTTGTAGATTTATTATTAGTAGTAGTACTTTTATATGTGGCACTACAGGTTCTATTTTGTCCGTTTCTACTCATTAAATCTCGTGAAATATCGTGATGCTATCATGGACGATATCATGGGCATGTACTAAAGTACAGTGATACAATATTTCTGCCATATCACCCACCCCTATATCCAATCTTACTTTATTTCTGATCTCCTCTGGCATGTAGTAGCGGTTCTTCCTCTCCTCTTTCTCTTTTGCTCCAGCTTTCTTGTAGTCTCGAGCCAAATCTCTGATCTGTTTCTTGTATTCCAGTTCTTTCTTTTCCCGCTCAGTGAGGGTATCGCTGGAGAAGAGGTACTCCTCATCCACGATCTCTGCCTCCAGGTCTTCCAGCTTCTCCTGTTCACGCTTGGAGAGGTACTCCCATCGTGACTGTTTCCGTAGCTCAGGCAGCTGGGGAGGAGGCATGAGAACAATGGACCAGTGCTGTTGAATTCACTATACTTTACATTGCAGAGTAAATATCCTGAAGACAATTCATCTAATCGCTCTAGTCAGCAAAAATAAACCTGCACTTGTCTTCATATTCAACAGAAAATCTAAGACTGAACTGTCATACCTTCTAATTGTACCAGACCAATATTGTTTGTAAACACAAAGATAACGTGTCAGAAAAATACTTTACCATTTTCCTCTGATCTTCTTCAGCCATCTTCAGTCTCTTCTGAGCCTCCTCATATGCCTAAGGAGTGGACAACCAGTTTCAGTTGGGTTACTGGGCTTCTTTTGTATAGATTAATTTGCTGAACACAAGAGTGTTGAAAGAATCAAATCCTTCAAGATTGTGTAGCTCATTTCTATCAGCAGTTGATTTAATGTGATACTGTCATGGTTTAGCACTCTACCTTTTTGTCGTTTCTTTCCAGTATGTGTCTAGTCTTCTCTTTGTCTCTCTGCTTCACTCTTTCTGCAAAGGCATCCCTCTCTTCCAGATCCTGCAGCCTCTCTCTCTCCTCTTTTTCCCACTCTTCTTCCTCTTCTTCCACTTTCACTGATGTCTTTGAATCTTGTGAAGCTGCCTTAGTACTGCATACACAAAGCAAAGATGATCAAAAACAAAACTGAACAAAGTTAAAACAAGAAATTGAAAGCTTCTCTGAAACAAACTGGCCTTTGGTTTTCTATCAGAGAATATGGTAAACATGCATTTTACATTTAACTAGGGGTTGATTGCGGTGCTTTTCAACAGCACAAAATGTGGCTTGTTGATTATAGCAACGTGTTTAATGGTGTTAAACAGGGTATGTTTTACTGAAAATTTACTGAAATATGGTTTTGCAGCATCTGCAGTACATTCACTTTCTTCAAGTAAATTCTAAAATAAATCCCATCAAGAAACCTAAATATGCAACAGCTCACCTCTTTTTTCTGTCTTCCTCACTCGATGATGGACTTTCATCTCTTTTTTGTCTAAGGTGCTTTCTCTTCTTCCCTCTCTCCTTTTCTTTGTTTTTTTTCTCTTTCCTTTTTTCTCTGACTGCCTCTCCATCACTATCACTGTCCTCCAGGAGGGTGTAGGTTCGGTTCTTCCTCTCCATCTCTATGGCCTGCCGCTCTATTGCTCTGGCAGGTTTCTCAGCAACCTGTTTCTTCGGGACCTGAATAGGCAATGCAAAAAACAAAAATGAAGAATTGTCACAATAAAGTAACTAGTGCCCAAATTTGTACTCTCTCGGTTTTAAATGAGCTGGTACCTTGTTGTATAGCTCTTGAGCGAATGCAGTCACTCTCTGGTCAATGTCAATGGTGCCTGTCTGTTGCAAACGAGCAACAAAATCCTGCGGACCAGAGGATTTCCGCACCAGACCTATCATAAACTGGGCCACATACCGGTCACTCAGGCCCAAGATATCATGGAGCTGGTCGCTCACCCACTGCTCCAGATTAGCCATGCTTAAGGCAGGTGGCACAGCTGGAACACAAAGGATTGAATATTAACCTTACACCTCACATTCAGTAACTTTTTTAATATGGACAAAAACACTTGCCAAAGGAATGATTTATCAAATAATCAACATTTGATTGACATTCTCCTTTGTTCCACATGTATTTGATCAGCAAAGACATGTTCGGTGTCGAGGTTCTCTAGAGTTACAGCAAAAATATGGGGCTATTACAATGGAAAATTTGGGGTCACAAAATTTCACTAGTTTTTAGCTACATTAGACTTGTGAACCTCAGTGCAAAACTAAAGCAGCAAAACTTGGACACCAAACGTGCCTTAGCTGATCGACTTTGGGCCAAGGAGAAAATTGTGTAAATTTTATTTTGAGCAGGAAACAATTCCTTTAAAGCACATCCAAATCAACTGAAAAGTTAAAAAAAATACGAAGGCAAATATATTTATAACGTTACCCCGAATGTTAAAGGAACCTACAAGTAAGTTATAAATAAATGCACTACATATACAAGACTAAACGTCTATATCCTGCAGATTTTGTTGACTAGTTAACGCGCCATCACGGTTCACCACAATTAGGCTTATCAAACAACAGGCCATCGTGTGTTTAGTCTAAGTTACACAGGAGTAACTTTACCTATTTTATTTTTTCTCAGAGAACATCAGCTAATTTATCCCCGTTAGCTGACGCTAGAAACGCTAGCTGTTTAGCTAACGTTAGCTGTCCTCCGGCGGAGCCTCTGCACGGTTATATTGTTAAATCTAAAACCTTCTCAAATCTGCTATCATCCACATTAATATGTGACATTATCGGGGTTATCTCGTTGTCGCCGTCATACTTTGGCTTTCAGTTTTGTCCGATTAAACGCTCTAGTTTGAATCCTTTAGCTTTGGCTGTACACGCTCTCCGCTCTGCTTTATTTACTTCCGAGTTCGTTCTGCGGCCACCCGACAGAATAAAAGCACACACAAGCACACACACACACACACACACACACACACACACACACATGGCTTTTAATTAGATAAAATAAATTTGGCTAAACAAATACAATAAATACAAATAAATACATTTCACATAAATAGATAGATAGGTAGATAGATACACATACATACATATATACATACAGACATGCATGCATTCATTCTTAAGTAAATATTTAAATAAAATATTCAAATATATAAATAAAGGATTAGTGGCAAGTGCATATGCTGACTTCGTAATTAGGTAAAATAAATTTGGCATTTCACATAGATAGATAGACAGATATACATACATACATACACACATAAATATTCAAATAAATAAATACATATTAACACAATAAATGATTAGTGGCAAATAAAGGCGAATGCTGACTTTTTAATTAAGTAAAATAAATTTGGTCAAATGAATAAATACATACATTTCACGCAGATAGATAGATAGATCGATCGATAGATACATAGATAGATAGATAGATAGATAGATAGATACATACATAAATAACTAGATGAATAAAAAAGGCATACACAAAGTTTAATTTTCACAAAGTCTGTAGTACACACTGAGGCAGGGGACAGACAGTACAGACAGTACTTGAAAAATATAGACTACTGTATGAATGGAAATGAGACTGCATGAGATAAACACGTTGTTATGATATTGAAAATTAACTTCGATACAATACTCTGAAACATATTGAAATTCTATACACCAAAGATAAAATTAAGGTTCTTTTATTAAGACAAAAAAAAATCAAAATAAACATAAGATTAAGAATATAAGAATATAAACAATAATCATGTCGATAGTTCAATGAGACACCTGGTTAAATGTTTTAGTGTTATTGATTATGATCCTATTCTTGTAACAAGAATAAAAAATCGTTACTACTATGCTAATGTCTTGGTAGCTCGCTAGCTAAATTTCCCGTTCCTCCTTAAATGGTGCAGTAGTTACATTTTGGCGGCTTAGGCATCAGACCTACTCCACCATTTAAGGTGGAACGAGGAAATACGAATAAGAAGCTGGAGAATAGCTGACTTCAGCTTCGTATCACCGAAGATTAGGGTTGGGTGATCATAACTGTCAAATCCCCCTCTTTGAAGGCATATGATTCCCTAAATTTAAGACCAGCAGCGAGGTTGTTTACTGCTCTTCTGCTATCACCGCAGACTGTCGACTACAGAGCACCACTAATAGCCCTGATGAAGTAATGATAGTTTTATCTGAGGGTTGTCCAATTTCGTAGGGAAAGATTTGAACCACTACTTATAACTCAGTTCCAAGCATAGATATACACGCCTAGAAGCCGCGTTGGGTCCAGCCAGGCACGTCAACGGCACCGCCATTTTGGGGCGGTCAACATCACTGCTGGACTGCATTCAGTACCATTACAGAACGGCAGTTTAAGAAAGATATTGTCCAAAATTATACTATTTCAGGAATATTGCTCTCAGAAAGCGAGATAGGATTATATAGCGGAGGGAACGCAGCGATCCACGCTCGTGTTTGTGTGCTGCGTATTGTTTGTGTGATATGTTTATGTGAAGGGCCGTGTGGTTGTTGATGCACAAAGAACCTCTTGATGTGATTGTTTTTCCTCTTGTTTTATATTAAGCTTACTTCATTTAATAGTCTATTCAAGGGATCTTACCTTGTATTTAGTAGTTATTTATATACAATGATGGTTAATGTTTTGTAGCTGTAAATTATAGCATTCCCTAATCCGTGTAGATATTCCCCGTTCCACCTTCAGTGGTGCATCAGCCAACATCTTGTTCGAGTTTTTCCGTTCCACCTTAAATGGTGCAGCAGTCACTTTCTGGTGTCTGAGGCTGCGCTTGTTCGAACTGAACTCGAATAAGAAGCTGGCGAATATGAAGCCAGCTTTAGCTTCATCCTTCTTACTGTGTTTTAGGGGGTTTATTATATTTTTATTTATTTATTTAAGATTAGAAGTGATTCACACATTGATGGATTTGCTGATGTGGTGTGAGATTGTCTACCGGAGCTCGCGCTAAACTCGGTTTTAACGTCAGCTGCAGACTGAATACTTTTCGGTCCAGACAGCTAATTAGCACGATCAGTTATTAAAGAAGTAAAAGCTACCGAGAGCAGTCCGTGCAATCTAGATTTATCTATGTCTGAGGATTAGAACAAAACAAATTTGGTGAAAATCGTTTGAGTAATAAGGAAGTTGTAGCCGATTTAATCCTGAGACTCATCATCTCTCAATACGAGTGAACTTGTTCACGAGCGGATTTTGACCGCTCCATCATGGCGGACGCGCAGACGTGTCGCCTCCGACAGAGAACAATCTAGGTATGTATGTTAGTGGTTCCAAGGGGCAAGGAGACGCTCGAAAACAAATGGTAGGGGTAAAAATAAGAAATTGGTTTGGGCCTTAAAGTGGAAACGCACTAAATGTGCAGAGCAGTGGGCCTCCAGGACCCATGTTGAGGACCACTGCTGTAGAAGTAAAGTGGGCCTGAGATGAAAGTGAGAGAGCTGCGATGGTACATCTGAAATGCGTGTTGCCGCTTCCTATTAGACAGTTTAAAGGAAGTGGCCTCTGACATTAAACGTGAAAAGATTTTTTTTTTTTTTGTTCCAAAAAAGGAAGGAGGAACTACCAGCTCAAATTGAGAGTCGGCCTGTTGCCTTCCACACATTTTACTTTATGAGCCTGTCAGCGGTAGGAGAGCTTGGTCTGCGTGGAGGCTACTTTTAGTCTAATTCATTGCGCACCTTAGAGTGAAGTAATATAGGATTGTGAGTCTCTTAAGCGTGGTGCAGTTTTTAATGACAGAAATGATCTTACACCTTGTACTTTGCGGTATTGCCCTGCTTGATGCTGCCGCTGGCTATCGTCCAGTCATTATCGTTCATGGGCTGTTTGATGGGCCCAAACAGTTCACCAAGCTGGCGAGTTTTATCAACCAGGTAAGAAAGACACGGTTTACTAAGTTTTTAATTTACTATTAATGATTTCCATGACTGCAGTTTTAAACTACACTTACAGACGTTTCATCTCAATTATTATTTTCCACACAGTTTGGACAATTATGTAGCTACATTTCTGAATCTTCAGTATATGTCTACAAAACATAGAATTGGGGTAAATACAGCATTGGCAGTCACTGAAATGCATATGATCCAAAACTGCATTTAAGACCATTTTGAGAAGATAATTTTTTTAGTGTGTCAGACTTATTTATTCTGAAAATATTTAAGCACATTTTGAAAAGACTGTTGTCTTCCACAAGTTTATTTTTATCTCTCTTGCTCTCTATTGCCAAAATTATTGTTGATGTATGATGTATGATGTGTGATGTGTGATGATAGTATGATGATCAGTGCCTTGTCCATCTCCCTGAGGGGTTAGGCTATTTGAATCTGGACAGTGTATACCAAAAATAAGGAATACTCAGTAAACCGTTAGAGTAAGTGCATGTGTCTGTACAGTCATGTGCAAAATTTTGGACGCCTCTGGTTAAATGACGTTTTATTGATTTTCTAAGTGATATTAAATTAACACATTCTCTACAAAGAACAGATTTCTGTACATTGTAATGCACAATTTCTTACTAGATTTTACATATTGGGGAAAAAAACATTAAATATTGCCTGTGCAAAAGATATGGTATGTTTTATATTTTACAGTATGTTACACTCAGCAAATAAATATAATCTGTGCACCAAAAATTTCAAAAAAAAAGACAGAACAAATTGAATGTGACCATGCTCACATACTTAGACTTAGAGGATCAACAGAAGATGTCATTTGACCGGGGTGTTCAAGCTTTTGCGTACGACTGTTTTGGAGTCGGTCATTTGGCATAGCTATTTACGACCTACAACCAGTTCTGTTTTTCGGTCTTTCAGTTCTTAATGAAACTCTGGCTTCTCTTTTTCACTTTGCTTTTCAGACCCACCCAGGTACCAGTGTGACCACAGTAGATCTATACGATGATATGGCCAGCCTTAAACCCTTGTGGGAGCAGGTCAAGGGCTTTAAGAGGGCCATGGGGCCGATGATGGAGAAAGCCACAGATGGAGTCCACCTCATTTGCTTCTCACAAGGTTGTCTTCACCTTTACCTCACCCCCAGTTCCTCAAGTCTGTCATGAATCTAAAGCTTTGATTTTGCTTTATGCTGATTGTCATCAAATTTTTTGTATTCAAGGTGGTTTGGTATGCCGAGGAATTCTTGCCACTATTCCCAAACACAATGTCCATTCACTGATTTTTCTCTCATCACCACTAGCTGGCCAGTATGGAGGTCAGTATAACATGTAAACGAATTATTATATATATATATATATATATTTATTTATATATATATATATAATTTTTTGCTTTTTTTCACACCAGATGAAAACTGCAGCTTCTTTTTTATTGTATTGTGAAATATAATTTCAGTACATCAGTGTATGTTTGGTTTTTTCCTCCTTCTCCTAAAAAATTCGGAAATATGAGATTTTGTGAACAATATGCAAAGGTCTTTTCCTACCTGTCAAAATTCACTAAATTCACTAAATACACTAAATTCTTATTTTACAGATACATCTTACTTGAAGTATTTCTTCCCAAAATATATTAAGTCAAAGCTTTATCACCTGTGCTATACCCTCTTTGGACAAAAGATCTCAATCTGCAACTTCTGGAAAGGTAAGAGGTTGTGCCATTTCACACTGCTCGTATTACTGAAATCTGCTGCTGGTGACAAATTTAGATGGCTTGATTAATGCACAGTGGTAATTTTAGAGCAGGTTTACATGCAGTACTTTCATTTTGTGTGTTCCTGTCCCTACTCTTTAGATCCACATCAAAGAGAGAGATACTTGAAGACCAACAGCTATCTTGCCTTTTTGAACGGCGAGCGCAAACATCCTAATTTAACAGGTAATCCCTCTTACTAAAAGCTGTATTACTGCAAGCCTAACATTTATTACTATTTTGAAAATGTTTTAAGAACAGTTTAAGCTACTTGGGTTGTTAATAAAAATGCATTTCACAGTGTTTAGAGTGGATTAAACATTTTGACACATTTGATAAATTGATATATTTTGATATCCTGAAACTGCATTCCTCTGTTTTTAGAGTGGCGAGAACACTTCTTGAGCATTAAGAAGTTGGTGCTGATTGGGGGACCAGATGATGGTGTCATTACACCCTGGCAGTCGAGGTGTGAGGTTATATATTTAATTGCATTGTGTATAACATTTAATTAATAAATAATCTGTAAACTACAGTATGTCTAACTTACACTATATGGTCAAAAGTATTGGGACACACCTCAGGTTTTTTGTTCATTCCCATTGCCACAGGTGTGTAAAAACAAGCACCTAGCCATGCAGTTTGCATTTACAAACATTTGTGAAAGAATAAGCTGTTCCAGAGAGCTCACTGAATTCAAGCATGGTAGTGCAACATGATGCCACCTTTGCAGTAGGTCAGTTTGCGAAATTTCTTCCCTTCTAGATGTTCCACGATCAGCTGTGAATGGTATTATTGAAAAGTAAAAGTGTTTAGAAACCACAGCAACACAGCCACAAAGTGGTAGACCATGTAAAATTACAGAGCGAGTCGCCGAGTGCTAAGGCGCATAGTGCATAAAAGTCACCAGCGCTCTGCTGACTCAATAACTGCAAAGCTCCAAACCTCATTTGGCATTAACTTCAGCACAAAAACTGTGCGCCAGGTGCTTCATGGCATGGGTTTCCAAGGCCGAGCAGCTGCACGCAAGCCTTACATCATCAAGTACAGTGCCAAGTGTCAGATGCAGTGGTGTAAAGAACGTCACCACTAGACACCGGAGTAGTGGAAATGTATTCTGTGGATTGAAAAATGCCAGGAGAACGTGAGCCTGCCTGACTGCATTGTGCCAACTGTAAAGGTTGGTGGAGGAGGGATAATGTTATGAGGTTGTTTGGCCTAGGCCTCTTAGTTCCAGTGGAGGAAAATCTTAATGCTTCAGCAGACCAAGACATTTGGGACAATTGTATGCTTTTTTGGAGGCCCTTTTCTGTTCCAGCATGACAGTGCACAAAGCAAGGTCCACAAGGCATGGCTGGGTGAGTTTGGTGTGGAAGAACTGGCCCAAACAAAGCCCTGACCTCAACCCCATCAAACACATTTTGAGCTGTACCTCATGAACTACAACGGAGATTATGAGCCTGGCCCTCTTGTCCAAAATCAGTGTCTGACCTCACAAATGCTCTTCTGAATGGATGGGCAAAGATTCCCACAGACACACTACAAAATCTTGTAGAAAGCCTTTCCAGAAGAGTGGAAGCTGTAATAGCTGCAAAGGGGGGACCAACTCCATATTAATGCCTATGAATTTAGAGTGGGATGTCATAAAAGCTCCTGCAGGTGTCTCAATACTTTTGTACACATAGTGTATATTTGTAAATGATGAACTATATACAGACTAACATAGTGATAGTAATACTTATGAAATTATTTCACATAAAGTGTTGAGTGAACTAAGAACTACTCTCCTATGTTTTGATAGTAAGTGCATGTCCTGGTTCTTGCTATTAACCCATTCAGTGGGTACAATTTATATGGTAAGGCAAAATGGCACAGAACTTGTTCTGATTGGGCTAAAGTCATGAAAGTTGGTTACATCATAGATGAGCATCTAATAATAGCCACTGAAATGTTTTGATCAAATGTAATTTTCATACTTGTATTCACAATTAATTGTTCTTTTGGTAAAAATCAGTAATCCCAGGTGACAAACGCTACATTTATTAAAATATATATATTTAGTGGTATAAAGTCACATTTTGGCTGTATGTTGTGATTGATTTGGAAAACATTCAGATCTGTGCCCAGGCAAGCTCACAGAACATATAGACCAAAGGAAATTTTAGATATGGACAAGAGCGAGTTAACGGTTATGCCTGTTTGAGCTCAGTAGACTGGAATGATTGTGAGAAAGACAGAAAGTGACACTTGAACTTCAGAGGCTTTAGAGGGATTATGCAGAGCATGACATTATAACATGAAAAGCTAGATTCAAAACATGTTTTACTCTTTGTGAGGAGCTCATTGCAAGCATTGTGTTTTTCTCCAACAGTTTCTTTGGATTCTACGACAGCAATGAAACGGTGGTCGAAATGAAAGCGGAGGATGTAAGCTTAAGCACAAACTTAACGAAGCACTCGAATCAAATTCTATCGTCATATCAGCATTAACCTGATATAGCTGTTTACTTGCGCTGAAATAATTTCTGCTCTTTCTTCAGTGGTACCTAAAGGATGTGTTTGGCCTGAAAACTCTGGATTCCAGAGGAGACCTGGTTCAATGTGTGTTCTCTGGAGTCCATCACACCTCCTGGCATTTGAATTATACTGTGTACAAGGACTGCATAGAGGAGTGGCTAACTTGAGTAATATCTAAGCTTTATACATATGCATACACAGCCACAGATTGAGACATCTATAGCTTGCAGCCTTTCATTCACAATTCTTTATTATTTTTTTTAACAAGTTGTGCTGTTGCTTTCAAACCTGCACAGTTATAAGCATTCTCTGCCTCCAGCAAACCTGATCCTCTTCAAGAAAAAATTTTATTTTATTATTTTATTAATTAGTTGAGCTGGATCTGGGAATAGTAACGACTGTGTAGGACTGTGGGTGCCCAGGAGCGGGATTAAAAACTACTATTTTAATTGAACTGATGATATTAAACCATTATATGATTAAAATGTTGCAAAGTAGTTCAAATAAAAAAAATAAACCTATCCAAATATACAGTAACTGATCTACTTTTTTCCATTTGTTCACAATTCTTGTGGTTTATTTATTTGCTCTCTTGGTGTATATACTCACTAATGTGGTTCAGAGGTGCGCAACTCTGGTCCTGGAAGGCCAGTGACCACTGCAGTTTTGTAGTTCCTTTACTCAAAACACTCACTAAACCTGGAAATTAGCATAATAGTTGAATAAGATGTGTTTGAACGGGAAAACCACTGAACTGTGCTGGGCACTGGCCCTCCAGAACCAGAGTTGTGCACCCCTAGTGTGGTTTTCTATGCCTAGGATTGGGGATGCACACTGTAGCCTATTTGTTGATGCGCAATTTATCTTAGGTGGCCTCCAGCCCTTCATCAGGGATTGGTGTCTGACTGCAAAGCTGCCCATAGCTAGACATTTTTGCGTGGTGGACCACTATCAACCTAAAGCACGCTGCTTAGCCTCATACACTCATACCAGCAGCACTCACACTACAATGTCAGTGTCACTGCTGTGTTGTGATTGATCCACCATGCAGTCAGCAGTGGTCAGAAACTGATCAGTGATGAATCGGGTAGAGGGCAGATGATAATAGGTTAGTTGATAACTGAACGTCTTCATAGTGGTGCTATAAAACAGGTGGGGCTCATGTTGGGGCCAGTGAGTTGAAGCACAAAGTTGGTGTTTCCAGTAAAGTGGACACTGTATATACGACTGTATGTGTATGATGTGAACTGAGAGGAGTTAAAAATTAAAACCGTTGCAAAAAATTATGAACATTTTAGGTTTTAGGCCACTCCAACAATTTAAATAAAAGATTACACTGCTCTTTTAATTCTTCTTAATCATTATGAGTTATTTTAATTTCAGCAGTCAGCCTATGCCCTACCATTAACTCGATATGAGGCCACACAAGCACTAAATACCAAACAGTCTTTTATAATTATAGTTTTATCCTCGGGCTGCGTGGCGTTGCAGCTGCGGCTTCTGTCAAACAGGTATGAAGCGTGACGTCAGCACGCCAGGTAGATCGAGCCGCGGGGAGTGCTGCACTGCACTGCCCTGCACTTCAGTTCAGTTCCTGGACGAGATTTTAGGACCTCTTCATCTGCTGAGTAAGTTCGTTTGTTGGTTTGTTTTTAGTAGTTTGAGTTTTTCAGGTTTTCTAGTCGAGCGTGTTTCTATTACAGCCGTAGTTAACCGAGCTGAGACCGAAGTTTCTCCTCAGCTTGACTTTGTTTGGTTTGGTGTTTGCCGTGTTTGCTTTGAGGCTAGAACCCTTGCTTCTAGTCTTTTTTCACTATCTTGTCTGCCGGTGAGACTTCTCCTTTCACGATTCTGAAGTCAGCTCCTTTTTTCGCCAACTTCTTGTTCGAATTGTCTCGGTCCACCTTAAATGGTGCAGGAGTTACGTTCTGGCGCCAGCGGCACCATTTAAGGTGGAACGGGACAATTCAAACAAGTTGGCGGATGAGAAGCTGACTTCTGCCTCGTCTTTCCTGAAGAGGTCCTGCTCATTTCACACGGACCTCTTGCGTTTGAAGACGTTTTGAGAGCCGACTGTGTCACTTTTTTAGTTATTTTCCTCTCAGCATTATCAAACCGACCGAGAAGCTCACATGAGGATAAGCACGAAAGCGGCAGCGTTAAGGAAACATAAACGAAATGAGACCTTTTTATTTGCTGTTTTATTTCCTCGCTGTCCAATGAAGAGAAGAGCTGCTTCTGCATGATCTTTTAAATCGCTGTTATTTGCTGTACCAGCTTCAGTCATGGCCCACACTACGACTGAGAGCTTACAGTCTCAACTCATTAAGAAATACAGGTTCAAAAATCTATATAATGGGTCGTGAACCGAGAGATTCAGATTTGGTTTAGCAAGTGAATCAATCAAATCTGCTCCTGTTCACTAGTGTAGGCTTCCTGTCTGTATATCTACTTTAAACAAAGTTTGTGGTTCAGAGTCCACGCCAGCAGCCCACGTAGCCCGAAAGTTGTGAGAAAAAGGCATGTCACACTGGGGAAAATGAAGCGGTGGAGCCTCTTGGCTCGGTTTGTGTGGGCTATTGAGAGTGGCTGTGACTCAAGGGCGACGTGTACAGTATGCAGTCTGCCCCAGCTCTATAAACAGCGGGTTGTTTGGAGAGTGTGAGCAGAGAGGGTAGCTCTCAGTAGACTCCCATTGGACGTGCTGCTTGCTATAAGTGAGGTGTTTTTTTTTCCCTATAGCTTTAAACAGGCTGCATTTCAGGTCGCCCAAGAGTCACAGCCTAATAACATTCTATTCAAAGCCAGGCCCTTGCAGCTGGTCATTGCCAGAGCTCACTGACTGTAGTCCAATAGGTATTTAACTCAGCTGACCAAGTTTTAACTCTTTCAGGCCCCATATGGCTTCTAGCAGGATGACCACTAGGAGCAAAGTTGAGGGATGCCGGGTCTGTGGGTGTGATCTGAAGGGTAACCAACGACGATGGCTCTTCGGGGGTCAGAACAGAAAAGGCGGCCAGGCTCAAACACCAACACATCCTTTCTCCAAAGAGTCTGCCAGCACACTGCCTTCGTCCACGTCTGCCCAGAGCAGCCCATGGGGTAGGAACGAATGCAAGACACTCAAGATCTGCTTGTTGTTACTAGGTTCAGTTTTATCCATTGTGGAAGAAACATTTAGATGATGTCTTGCCTCTTCTGGTTTCCTAAATAAGCTTCAAATGGATGGTTCTTTTAAAGAGGCATTTTTCTAAATGAGATGTGTCCGCATGAAGGACCTTCTGAAAGAACCTCCACACAATGTAAAGGTTTTATACCAGTTAAAGGAGAATTCTGTGAACTTTTCATATTTTCTACAAAATTCATTGGTTAAGATGTTAACAAGATTATTCAGAGTGGTTTGACATGAAATGCTTTTTTTAAAAGAAACTTTCCTTATCAGAAGTGTTCATGTTGGTGGTGAAAGGAACCAGATGTCCAAAGAGTTCAATGCCTCTTACCATAGGTTTAAGAAAGTTTTGACCAAAAATGTTGTTTTAATTTCCACCCATAGCACAAGCAGGGCAAAGTAGGGCAAAGTATACCCCCTCCCCCCCACAAAAAAAAAAATCACATTTTTCAATATTCTACCATTGTCAACATTATATAAATACTCCTGGTTTTAATCACCACCACTGTAAATTGTCAGTATATTTCTCTAGTTTGAGGTTTTAAAAAATGTGAAATTCCCCTTTAAAGGTTTTTCACTGGGCCTTATGTCCAAGCCAAGATACATTCTGAAAACTTTATTTTTTAAGCATGTATTATAGAATCTCATATCATATAATAGGGCTGAGGTGTTCTTGAGAAATGAACTAGCAAGTTATTTTTCTTTAACCAATCTGTGTTTTTATTTCTTACAGGCAGCACTTTGTCTCTTGGCTCCTCTTACAAATCTCATACCCTGCCCACCCCTAACAAAGGGATGGACCTGCTCTCTGTGCTGACACACATATTAGGGCAGTCTGTAACACGGGGGAACAGGCGGGGGGAGTTCATATGTAGCAAATGTGTGTTTGTGCTGGAGCGAGTGTTTAAGTTTGACACTGTCATAGCCAGAGTCAAAGTTCTGTCCAGAGAGAGGCTTCAGAAACTGACTCAAGAAAGGGATAACTTGAGGCGATGGGTCCGAAGTGTTTATAGACAGCGAAACCCTTCAGACTTGAGGAGCAGAGGAAGCTCTAGTGAAGATGATGCAGAGCTGAGAGAAGGTGGTTCAGGGAGTGCTTACAGAGAGATGCTGAGGGACAACATGGCTCTATCTGCATATGAGTGCTGGTCTGAAAAATCAGACTCGTGTCCTTACTTTAGAAGGACAGGTGAAAGATGCGGTAAAGGGAAAAACTGTGAGTGCTGTGATTCCTTAAGAGTGTCTGATTCGGATTATGAGTCTGTGTGTGGGATTCCGCGTCATCTGCCTGAGCAAGCCCTGTCCCCTTCTGGTCTGTCACGGGACAAGTCGCGAAGTATGCCTCTCCATTGGTCTAGAGTTCCATCAAGCAGCTCAAGTCCTGCCTCGTTAGCTGGTTCCTGCCATTCGTTACGAGCACGATCTCGCACAGGCTCAGCACAATCCCTGGACTCTCTGGATGGTCCTGATCCATTTGACTGGCCAGAAGAACAGCCAGTAAACTTGGACTCCATTCTCCAAGAGCTGAAGGGTATAGAAGGAAAACCGGTACAGTCTCCAGCAGGCAGTCGCATCCCAGTTTTGGGCAGAGCTCAAGGACTGAATGGTGTTGGGACAGCTGGGTCACCTAAAGTCGAGTTAGTGCGGGTACTGAATTTTGGTGACCAGGAGGAAGATGAAGTGGATGGAGAGAGTGAGGATGTACTGACAGAACTGAGGGATGAGTTTGTGCCACTGCACAGAGGGGTGAGGAGATATTTTTTGGTGTGCAGTTGCACTTGTACTACTGAAATAAATTTGCCTCTATGAGAACTAGAATTATTTTAACATGGTTTTACTGAGCTCTTCAAATGCTGTTGAACTAGGAACAAACTTTGTAAGTTTTTGTGTGAACATACATCTAGTATTCACAGTCCAAAAAATGCATCCTAATTATGTCAAATGTTGTTAATTTAGTGCTAATACTTGTGCAAAATGTATAATTATTTCTCTCAGTTAAACACTTTGTAACCTTTGAGAATATTCTGTAATCTCACTTAATATGATTTAGGTCACTACAAGCAGAGTGCACCTTGCTGTAAGGCAGTTACGGGAGCAGTTGGATCAAGCACAGGCTCGCATCAGGACCCTGGAGGCAGGGCTTCGGGAAGGCACCCAATCAAACTCCAGTAATGCCAGTCAATCAGAGCCTTCACCACCAGTGGTAAGAAATATGAAGTTCATAAGATAAAAATAGCCACCTGTCTGACATTCCTGAGTTCTTTGAAGCCACGTCCACAGTTTTACAGCATAGACTGGATTATGAATATTAGATTTTATAAGCTCAACAGATTTGTTGGGGTTTAGTGTCAGAGAAAGCATTTCATTGCAAACAGAAATATGCTGCACTTAAAATTATGATTGTACAGTATTTTGTAAGCTAATTATTCTTTCCTGTAATGAAATGACAGGAAAGGTTAGCAAATAGTGCAAATTGTGCCTCTTTAAGGCCGTTACACAGTGCACCGCAAATAAACGATATTCAGATGTTTTCACATCCAAACTATTAGAGCTGCTTTTAAAAAATGTTAATACTATCTATGACAAAGCAAAGGACAAACTAATCCTTTTGACATTTGTCAAAGTTCTTGCCAGACAACTTGCTAGTTCCAGAAATTACCATGATTGGTCTGAGAGATCATGATGCAGGCAAAAAAAGCATAATGTCGCATTTTTACCCTTTAAAAATTGCTTTGGTGAGCAAGATACCATCAGTTATGCATGCGCTTGAATTAATGTATTGACATCTGAATAAAAGGCACAAATTAATTGTGCTTTGTTTGTAAGGTCTTTAGAGTTAAATAGGCTGTTGTTACAGAGCCATTTAAGACTGATATTTAAATAACCTCTGTTCTGAAGCAGTCCAGACTAGAACTCGCCTTATTACTTGAAAGAGCTACGCTCTCAGCAGAGGTAAACTGCTGTAGGCTGAATAGGTGGATATATTTAAATCTGGTGATTTGTTTGACATCACAAACAGTGACAGGCTTAGTTTCATAATATGAACTGTATGGACTTGGGAGTGAATGGTATGTTTTTAAACTTCAACAGTGTTTACATATCCAAATCTTTTATTTAAAAAGTGAGGATAAACTCAGAATTCAGTTTTCTGTGATATTGGACCTTTTTTGTGCATGTGACTTGTCAAATATAGGACTAGTTTTGTCTCATGCAGCCCAGTCTGTCTGCATAACGTGGCAATTTCATCTTTTTATGGCATACCACTGTCACTGTATGTAGTTATATAATGTCAGTATAGTATTGTCCATACCATACAGTCCTAATCAGAACACTCTTTTGCCCTATCAGGTTGACACTGTAAATGAGAATTTATTATTTAAAGGCTTGCCTGGTTAAATTAAAACCTAAGCAAATAAAATAATACTGTTTATTTTGTACAAATGGTGTGTTACACAAGGCAGAGGGGTGTGTATAAAATACACAGTGTGCGCTTTCTTATGAAGGCTGCATAAATGCAGGCGCACACACACACACCTCTTCCTGGAATCTTCCCTGGCAGGAGGAGTTTGCCCTGGGCTTTGACTGTTTTTCTGTAAGCGGATCATTAACCAGCTCTGCAGCTGCCATATCGCTTCTAAACCACACTGACGTCAGATTATCCCACTCTAAAAACCTACTTCTGACTGTAGTTTCTATAGGTTACTTTTCAATGTGTACGATTGCAACCTGTTGTTCTGCATTCACAGGAATGTATGGTATCTAGAATTGCCGTTTAGGCAAAAGAATGACTTCCATTGTCCTTGGTTATGTCTGCTTGAGGACAAGTAATTGATAAGATATGCATGTGTCTCTGCTGGTCTACTGCAGCATCTACACAGCAGCTCTGAGGATGAGAATGGACTGATTCACCATCTAAGCCATTCATTGCAAAGCAGAGAGAAAGTCATTCAGGTCAGTTCTCACAGCAGGTTAAGTTACAGGCCCAAAATATTAAACTAACACTCTGCCTCAGGTCATTGACTTATGACTGATCTGAAATTCTGCTGTCTTTAGGATTGTGTTACTTTGATCCGAAAGCTGTGTGTCGAGCTGGGAGCAGGGTTAGAAGAGGCTGATAAGCTCATCAGCAAAGTGACTGTGTCCCTGACTGAAACACGATCGGAGTGCGAGGTGAGGCAGCTGATTGTACTTCTGCTGGGTTCATAAGCTCTATAACTGACATTCTTTATTGCCTCATAGCATTAAGGCTGTGTAAGCATTTCACCACCGCTTTATAGGCAAATAATTTTGAAAATTGTGACACAATTTGAGCTGGATTAGTTTTGCTAGAAGAGGTCCTGTGAGGTAATTTGCGAGGGGTTTGACTGGCCAGTTTGTTTGGGACAAAGTATCTTTTTATTGCTGCCAAATTACCACAGATGGCCCAGATTGAAATGTTATAGCATAAATGTTCACATCAGCATTGCATTACTGGCACTACACTCAATAACAATAATGACACAATGCACAGCTGTGTTTATTAGCAGGTTTTCTTATTATATTGCTCTGAGGTCGATTCAGAAAGATTAAATTACAGATTGTGGTTCACTCAACAATTCAGATTTGTCAAAACTACAGATATTACAGATTCATACTGGATTACAATCACAGGTTTCAACTTTTATCACTTAAATTAGAGGACCTCACACGTTAAAACTAATCCAGCTTAAACAGGATTTAAGAGACTTAAAATGTCCCTGTAAGAATGTAAGGGTTTATTTCCCCAAATAATAAAATAATGACCGTTCTCTTTTTAAGAAATAAATTATTGCTTAATAATTACATTTAAGGAGTTATTTTCCAGCTTGAACCTGGGGATGCCCTCAAACACACTTTCTGTTTGTCTTTCACAGATACACACTAGACAATAACTGTCAAATGTTGACGCATTTGTACCATATGTGTGTAATGATGGTGCCAAGATTTAGTAGACATTAGCCCCAAAAATGGTCCTGTAAGAATGTAATAGTTTACCCCCCCCCCAAATAACAAAATACTGACCATTCTTTGTACAAAAATGATAATAATAATAATAATAATAATAATTGAGATACATTAATATTGATGATATTATTATTAGTTAATAATGATAACAATAGCAATATTAATAATTACAATTGAGGAATTGTTTTTAAGCATTTTCATTTTGCAAATACACAACAGCCTGTTTATAATGTATGTCTGTGTTTATCAGGGTTTGTCAGAGGCTGAGTTATCCAAGCTGAAGGAGTGTGAACTTGGGCTGCAAAAAGAACTGGAGGTCCTCCGGCAGGCTGGCAAAGAACGGGAAAGAGACCTAATCACTCTCAACACTGTGCTCCAGTGTAACCAGGATGTCATCAATGTAAGGCAAACACAAAAGTGAGGCCAACCAATCAACCACACACACATTCCCACTATTTGTTTACCACTAGGCCAGACTGTTGACTTATGGCTGAAAATATCTGATCGCTAACATCAACGCTCGGTACCTTTAGCATTGTACTATAGTTGCCTGTCCTCTACACACTTCAATTATTGCACAGTAAACTCATTTGTGCGAAATCTTCCATACTTTTGAAATATACTTATTTAACCTTGTTCAAACAGTTGTTCTCTGCACTTTTGGTCTCAGCATTTACGGGTTAGAACTGGCTGAGAAGACACGATCACTGCAGGACATGCAGAAGGAGAGAGAGATATGGAAAGAGCGAGACTCAGCTCTGGGAGCAGCGCTACAGGAAAAAGAGACTCTAGTTTCTCGGCTGCAGGAGGCGCTACAGAGCTCCCATAAAGATGTTCAGGTTGAGGCACAATTGATTTTCCCCCTTTCCTTCTGTTCTACTTTTTTTTGCTCTCTTTCTCCCTTTAGATAACACAGATGTTGCTTTACCTGTTTGTTCTTGTGAAATCTAATGATTCATGCTACAGTCCATAGAAGCTGCAGTTGTGTAAGTCAGAGATATTCAATTTTGGGTGATTTTCTCTGTTGAAATGCACCAGTTAAATTTGGTGATTAACTGATGTTTTGAATCTGAGCTGGAGGTCACAAAGCAGTCCTGAATTAGAGGACTGACCTCAGATCAGTTTCCTTCATATATGACAGTTAGCTCACAAAAACTGAATCTAGATCCAACACTCCTACTCCTGAGGTGGTTTGTGAATACAGGCCCTGATGGGTTAAAGCAGGGCCCCTGGTGTAATTAAACATTGCTTGCTTGCAGGCACTCTCAGATTCTCTGATTGGTCGGGGGCTGCCAGGAGGTGGAGCTGAGGCTGCTTTGGTCAGTCAGATGCAAGAGAAGGAGAGCCTGCTTGCAGCCTGCCTTAAAGACCAGGAGCAGCACACTGCTACCATGAGACAGGAGGTCTCCAAACTCTTGACAGCTTTAAAAGATGCAGAGACTGTAATACAGGTAAGTTCACTGTTTTTGGAGCCACTTTTGAGATTGTTTTTGAGATTATTTCTGTGGTTTGCAAGATAGGCTGTGCGCATCAATCTGAAAAAGGGAATCACTGTTTCAGAAATAGGCATATTTAGTACAAAATAATCACTGTTCTTAAATTTTCTCTGCTGGACTTATTTTCCCAGCGGTAGAAGCCATAAATTCAGCACTTACAAAGGATCGGTTGTAATATATATGAATTTACTGTGTAAGTTCTCCATCTAGTGGCTTGTCAAGGAATTTTTCAGGGAATTCTAATACTGTATTCTAACTCTATTGTTTTTGTTGGATAGCAAGGAGCTAAGCATTTAATTTATTGATCTTTTTCTTTTCAGGACCAAAGACTAAGTCACCAACAAGCCATTGCTGAACTGACAGAGCAGCTGAGAGACACACGCAAAGAGCTGAGGGAGGCAATTAAAGAGAACAAGGAAGCAGAACAAGTGTGGCATGCTGAAAAGACAAAGAGAGATGTAGATGAGGCAAGACTGAAGGAGAGTTTGCAGAAAAGAGATAAGCTCATTGAGGTATGTGGTCTCACATTTCTCAATTTATTACACAGCAGGTAGGCAAGTTGACAGATGGCAGTGCCTCTACTATAGCCAGATTTTCAGTGTTTGGTTTGTTGTCACTGTATTATCACAACCACAAGAGTACTTCAGGACTACAAATTAATATTGTGAAATTGCATTTTTCTCCTTTTCGAAACCAGCAAGTTCTCTTGGATGCAGAGAAGCGGGATGGCATGCTAATAGAACTGCACCAAAACATCTCCAGTAAGCTTGAACCCAGGGACGCCCTCAAACACACTTTATAGGTTAGTTAGTCTTTCACAGATATGCACTGGACAACAAAAGTCTTATGCTGTATTTGTATCATATGTATGTAATGATGATGCCATAACTTGACAGACTGTAAATTTTGCCCTGACTGGAAAAAAGTCCCATTGTCTTATCTGCATGGCTGCTAATTTCACTTGCGATCTCAGTTTCTACTTTAAGTTCTTACCCATCTCTGAGCCTGAATGCAGCCCAACACACATGAAATTTAAATTCATTTCTTTACCAACCACAGTGATATAGTATGCAAGATTGTTTTGTACTGCCTGCTCAAATACAACTGTAACTTTCCAAACCCTCAAGGTAATTCTGGATATTCATTCAATCGTTTCTTTTTATATCTCTAATTACTACTGTTATTGTGGCATTCTTAAGTTCTGCTGTGCTTATACATCCTTATATTGTACATAAACTGCGCCTATTCATGTTTAAATCTTTTATTTTCACAGTTGACTTTTTTTATTTGTGTTATAATGCCATGGGGTATTTTCTTTATGGATTTTAATTTGTATGATATGTTTTATTGTTCATGATATGTTGTAAGTGTCTAAAGGTGAGCTGCTTGGTTTGTTTGTTTATTTATAGGGGGAGTACAACTGAATTACACTTTACCCTCTTGTTTCTGTTTTCTTGACCTGTAGGCTAACTGTCTGTAATTTGACCTGGATCTCGGTTGAGGTTACTTTTATTTCAGTGTTTGTTCTTTCTGGAGAACGCACAGATCTCTAACAATAAACAGTGTGTTCATAAAAAGAGCCCAGCAAACATGCCGTTTTTAATATTTTCACTTTACAGGCACTAAAAGGCTCTGAGAGCTGCTTTATTGTTTTGTGTGCCAGGCTACAGGCCAGGGTAATGTGATCGCTACTGTTTGAGTTGCTCAATGGCTCACGTTAATTTTTTCCCCACCTGTTTTCTGGCAAACTCCACCTCCTGTGGGGGGGATTAAAGGAATGGCTCACCAAATTATGGTGTGTGTGTGCGTGTTCAAGTTCAAGTTCAAGAGGTTTTATTTCAGCTATATACACGTACACACAGTGAAACGAAACCAACATTCCTCCAGGACCATAATTCAAAACAATACAGTATACACAGTGTGGACAGTACAGTGCAATAAATACAAAAGACTTACAATAAATACAAAACAGGACACAGACAGTACACGGTACTGAGAATATGTAGAGTTGTGCAAAGCAGGATGTAACATACCATGACATATTAGCAGATAGCCTAGCATATATGAACACAGTACCGTGACAGTATTTGGTTAACCAGATAAATGAATTACGGTAAGTAAAATATTTCAGTCTGAAATGCAATAATTCTATTTAATTACAGTATCCCAGACATAATCTGGAATTGCGAGATGTCGTTTGTTATGTGTGTGTGTGTGTGTGTGTGGTGTGTGTGTGTGTGTGTGTGTCTGTCAGTTCAGTCTGAGAGTTAAGGAATCTGATGGCTTATGGAAAGAAATTGTTGCACAGTCAGGCTGTGAGGGCCCTAATTCTACAATGCCTTCTTTCAAATTGCAGAAGAGAGAACAATTCATGTGAGGGGTGTGTGGGGTCATTACAGTATGTTTGTGTAGCGTTTCTTCTCTTTATGGTCTTCATGGCGTTGAGAGAGAGGGTGTTCCTTGAGAAGGTTATCATGACATGAGTTAAGAACTTATTTGCATGCTCATCTCCAAATATCCTATCAGGCACAGTGTGTGATATCAGAACATGTTGAGGTTATATTTCATTGCTTTTATGCATCCTCTGGATTCTTTTTTGTGCTCCTGTAATACTGAAAAGTACTTTTCTATTATATTGAACACATTTTCTTTTTGATTTTCAATTTGTGATCTTTGTGTTTTGCTTTTTTGGAGTAAATCACTTTTTGCACTGTTTTAGTGCAAAACTAACGAACCACGTCCTGGACACCAAAAATGTCTTGGCTAATAAACTACATTTGAGGTAAGGGGGAAAAGTGTGTAAATATGTAAGTATTCCTATATAATAGCTCACTTTGTCAACCTATAAGACCTAAAGTATGCAGCATAATTTAAAACAGCGCAACTCTTAGAAGAATCAGAAGCTGGTTTTGCAGTTTATTTATGAAAAAAAAACCCAATGAGAATTAACTTGAGAAATGGTGCGGTTTAATGATATTATTTGTCCTGCAGGTGGCAGAATAATTTATAAAATGAGCCATTTATGCATCTCAAAGTGGAATATTCATGTATTTCTGCATTTATAGGGTAAATGCGTTATGACAGTAGTTAAATGCTACTTTAACTTTATAAGCAAATAAGTAAATCTAAATATTTTACCTTTAGGCGTAAAAGCTTAGGGAAAAGTTTTCTTTCATCATTTTGGAGACGTCTGACCCCCACAAACAGCTGAACACCACCCCCGCCCACAAGCCGGTTTGCCGGAATACAGGTGGGGGAAAAAAACAACGTGCGTCCACTTCACTCCTGGGTGTCCAGTTACACCCAATCACAACCCGGAGGTCCTCTCCTTTCCGCTCAGCGTCTCTTTGGAAACGGCTCAACACTCCTCAGCTCAGCTCAGCACAGCACAGCGGCGCGTTCTGATGGAGTGATTTGCCCCGCAGGCCGTGTTTTAGAGGTGATGAAGAGCGCTGTTCAGTCTGTTCACTCAGCTCCAGCTGCTCCTCTGACTGTGGGAGCTCAGAGATGGAGGGACGAGTCACTGCGCTCCATCCAGCGCGCGCAGCGTTTAGTCCTTCAGTCCCACATGGACGCGTTTCACTCGGCCGCGCGCTACCGGAGAGCGCCGCTGTCCTCCAGGTTCACAGACAATGAAAACGAGACTTTGGTTAAAATCCGACCTACATCCACCGGAGCTACGGTAAAGGAGCCAAATTCATTTCCTTTAGCGTGGCGGTTTAAAAAGCATGCAGCAGTTTTACACCCGATTGATGAGTGTTTGCTTTTTGATTGACTGACTGACTGACTGACTGATACTCATTTTAAGAGAAATTCCACTCATTTTAAGAGAAAAAAAATAGCTGTATGTGTGTTATACGTGCGTTGACATCAGGACCCCCAGCTCCTATCACCACCACTGTGAACAAACCTGAGAATGTAGTTTCTGTACAGTGAACCACTTCACATCAACTCACTCTGACTGACTTTCTTCACCATTAAATTCTGAGGAAATTTTGAACAATCGGTGGAATTTCCTTCCAAGTAACTGGCTGGCTGTGTTCAGAATATTTCCCTTCAAGTGAAATGATGCACTGTAATTTAGGTCAGGCACTTTATAGTTGAATTTAAAAGTTTACGAATTTCCCAACAGTACCATTTCCTCTTTATATGACAACACAATCCAAAGGTATCCTACAAAAGAAGTGTAGTCGTCTGTCAAAGTAGACTAGATTTATTTGGAACACTGGGACACCTGACCCTTAAAAGTGTGATGTCACATGTAAGTGAGCTACTCAATGAACTCTGATAGCACAGCTATAAGCCAGCTTCAACATATGGCGAACGAGCGTTTAAAACAGCGGTCTCCATCCCTGGTCCTGGAGAGCCAGCTTCCTGCAGAGTTTAGTTCCAACCTGTGTTTAATAAGCTGCCCTGCCTCTTACTTAACTCTAACACCTCTGATCCAGCCAATCAGGAACTTGGGAAGAGGTTGATTAGTTGGAGCAGGCACGGCAAACTGTGGTTGAAACAAGACTCTGCAGGAAGCTAGCTCTCCAGGACCAGGGTTGGAGGTTTTAAAAGATCTCAATTTGAATGTACTTAGTATTTACTGATAGTTTATATTTACACACAAATTATGGATAGTCTGGTAAGTAACCTAATCTGCCACCTTAAAGGGGAATTCCAGAGATTTTGCAAATTTTCTGCAAAATCTAGTCATTGTGATGTAAACAGTCATTCAAAGTGGTTTGTATTAAGCATTTAACCATCTGATTACTACGAAGCCCCACTGGTGACATCCTGTATAAATAAAAATAATGCGTGGGAACAAGATCCTGATGCGTGGCCTTACTAAGTCGTGGGAATGAGATGTTTAAGTCGTGGCCACGAATTAGTAAAGCATGGAAACGAGATCCTATTGCGTGGCCCCAACTTAGTAAGCCGTGATCTCGTTCCCATGTCTTACTAAGTCATGGCCATGACTTAGTCATCTCATTCCCACGCCTTACTAAGTCGTGGCCACGCATGAGGATCTTGTTCCCACGCATTAATAAGGCGTGGCCACGCATTATTTTTATTTATACAGGATGTCATCATCAGGGCTCTGTAAATTACAGAGAAATTTTAAAAAAACTTCTTTGTCAAATCGCAGTGCAATCTGGGATATGTTAGCTACATTTTATGGTAGGATGTCATTGGGGGACACCCTAGAAAATGGTTAAATCCCCAGTTAAGTTTTCTTTATGAAACAAGATTTTTGATTTTAGATATAGCCTTTACTTGTGGAAAAAAACATTTCAAACTAGATATGTTTAGCAGAATAGATACTGGATAGATAGAAGCTAGCAGGGAAGTTCAGGTCTAGGTAAAGCTAAACTAGGTTTGCCATAATCTAGTTTTTTTTTAAATAAAATATGTTGAATTTTTTTATTTCAGTTACATTCTTTGGGTATGAATGGTCCATTTCCACCACCTGCCCTGCGTGACCAAAGTGCAGAGGCTAGCATTAGCATGGCCGGTGAGTACATGCGCAGCGTGAGGGAGGTAGAAGGCCATTTACGGAGGACAGCAGGAAAGGTCACTCAAGAGGCAACTAAGCTGCAACATCAGCGAGAGCGGCTGGAGAAACTGCTCCGGAGCTTCAGGAAAGCTCTACTTGTCAATCAGCAAAGCACAGATGGGCGGACTTTCAGGCCCTCTGTTAAGGAGACAGTGAGTGAAGTGCACTAACATAACAAATGATCACATAACAAGACAATGCCCTTATGCTGCTTAATTTAGCACTGTCCATCTCTACACACTCGTAACTGGAAACGTAATTGTGTTTTTGTTGAAGGTAAAAGATGGAGCAGATCTTCTGCTCTGCCATGAAAAGAAGGGCTTGAACGAGCTGAAGCAGAAATTGGAGAACATGCTAAGAGACACATTAACTCAACAGCAGGTGATAAACCATACTATGTCTTTTATATCTAATAAATGTATCCAAAATGAGATGCAAATATCTTAAGTATTCAGATTGATACTATTTGATCCCTTAAATTGCCAGGACCTACTAGCTTCCATTCCTCACTTCTATTACTTAGAATAACTTAAGTTCGCATTACTTTCCACGTAGATACTGAATAATTAACCCTAGGATGTTAAAACCCTGGAAAGGCTTAAACTTATGGCAATGTACGATTATATCAAGGTTCATCAATTAAAACAAGCAAGCTCAAAATACACTCACCAAGCATCTTATTAGAAACACCTGTACACCTTTTCATTCATGCAATTCAGTACAGATATGGGCCAGCAGCTTTAGGTGATGTTTACATCAACCATGGCATGATTGTCGGTGCCAGACAGGCTGGTTTGAGTATTTCTATAACTGCTGATTTTCATTTACAACAGCCTCTAGAGTTTACTCAGAATGGTGCATCCAGTGAACATCAGTTCTGGCTACTTTCAGGATGATGAGGCACCATGTCACAAAACCAAAGTCGTCACAAACTAGTTTCATGAATGTGACAATGAGTTCAGTGTCCTTCAGAGGCCTTCCCAGTCACTGGATCTGAATCCAGTAGAACACCTTTGGGATGTAGTAGAATGGCAGAT